GAAAAAGCTGTTATTCAGATGAATACAAAGAGTATCTAGGATCCACATCAACCCATGAATGTCCTTGTAGTAACTTACATGTTTGACCAGTATATGCGCAAACCTAACAGGTTGGAATATAACTTCCAGCAGCATTTTTGTCTCTTTGAACACTTTAGAAACATGAAAGCTCATAAACGTGACAAAATCTATTACTCACGCGTGTGTGAAATAAAATTTTATTTTTTTGTTGATGGCTTCACGTTTTGATATGCATTAACAAATTATTTACAACTATTTGGCAAATGTGGAAAAGATGAGTATTTTAAGCTGTATTTGTAATACTTAATTGAATCTGTGGTCCAGCACATATATACTTACTGTCCAAAACATGAGGTCATCTAGATCATATCTTGATGACTCTACGCTGGCTGCTGCAGACCCATCCTAAAATCATGCTCCTTCCACATACCGCGGTTAAATCAAAGGTTTTCTGCAAAGACTATAGCAAAATCATTGGAACTCAAATCTAAATTTGACCTCATTGTTAACTTCAGTGAGTAGTCATGTAGTGCTCTGTATTCTAAACGTCCCAAAAAGACTCACCAATCACATAAAATGTTTTATTGAAAAACTTCTTGTACACCGTATCCTATAATGCAGATTTATGATTAATAGAGGACAAACATGTTGAACACGACAACATTACTCCATCTCAACCAAGTTCATCAACAAGTGAGACATTTCTAGTCTGGAGTGTTTGCGAAAGTGATCAATAATAGGATCAAAGTTCACGTGTACTTACAGGCAGTTTCTAGTTTCGAAGCACGACCACAAAATTTCTGTTCAAAACTTTTTGACAACTCTGGAGGACAAGATTCAAGGTAATAAGTCATAAGGATCTTTCGCAATACAATACAGAAAGTAAAAATATTTTAGTTTCTCTGATGTAGTGTCCATGTGCTAGAGTCATAGAATTCATCTGGATCAATAGAGATGATTGAACCCATTTTCACTCAAAATAGAGATCTTGCTGCTGGTAGAATTTTCTGTCCTGTAAAACGAGATGCACTTGTATCTCAATTATGTTTGAAACAGGAAACAATATGATAAGCCTTATTCTAAGAGGTTTTTGTGTACTTGTCTTTGGATGGTTATGTTCGTTATAGGTGAAGAACTTCGAAGTCCGCCGTAATCTTGTACTTCCCTTCGGGGAGGGCTTATGCTCAACGTCAATGAAAAACTTAAAGATCCATGAACATACCGGCTTATCAAGACTCTGCCACAATGAACTATCTTCTAGAAAATCCTCATGACAGCAGCAGCCATGACATTTAATTGTGGAGATATTACGCAGCAAACTGCAAGATGAGATTGATGATAAATTGTAAGGAAGTTAATTCTGGTCTACCGCGATGTGATTGCAAGCCAGTGTCCTCTAAGTGAGGTGAATAAAGCACGTATCCAAACACTCAACCGAGCTTTACTCCTCCCACGTACATAGTCTTCTTCCTCCGTAATGTCAATCTGCATCCAGAGTGAATTTTGCACCACAACCATAAGTTCACTATAGTTATTTCGCAACGATTTTAGCATCACCACTAGAGTTTCTTCGCAATAATACACTCCTATCACCCATACAGTGAATTTTAAACTTTTAAAAATTCACTGTATGAGCGGTATGAGTGTATCATTGCAAAGAAATTTTAAACATTTTTTCGCAATGATGTTTAAAATTCAAGATAGTAGACTCGATCAATTGATACTTAGATTGATTTTCAACGTATCAATTGATCGAACCTTTTGGCTATAACTTCATTCCAGTAGTTCGAGCCTTTACATTGGTGACCACAATCTAATCCCACAAGAGACTCCCCTATTTGGAAGACGATCCCATGGCACATCCCATCATGCCTCCTGTATCCTTCCAATTTGCTCTTCAAAATAATTGTCACACTCGAAGTCTTCTGGAGATTATATCCCATTTCAAAGCTTTCGTCCGCTCGTCTATGTTGAGAACGGAACAGACTCTTCTTGGAATAGAAGCTGGGAACTGAAGCGTGTGTACGATCCGATTGCAACGCTCCATATCCTCCAAACCTCTAGATATATGAGTGGGCAAAGAGTCACGAAGTCGTATGTCATCTGTAGGATACCCTCACCAGTCCCACGTGAAATTTGACTCTTGTGACCAGTAGTTTGACCAGTAGTTTATGCTCGCCAGCATGATCCACAAATCAATTTCGTTCGAAAAAATTCGATCGAAGAAGAATGTAACGGATCACGGATTACATTCTTTGAATTCTATCTGTGTTCTTGAAATTCTGGAAAAATGAGAAGCAATTTTCCGTGGCCTCAACAATAGAATATAGAATCGGGATCTGATTGGGTAGTATCCAGTGCACACTTACTGTGTAATGAAAACTACCCATTCTGGAAGTCCGACGCAAAGTTACTGTGTGGGACTTTAAGAAGGGGATTTTATGTTTTTTTCGTTTCCTTCGATAATCTTTTGATGAAGGCAATCATGCTTATAAAGCCTATCATGGCTTCTTTGATATGGATACCTACAATACAATCCAATGCATGACAAGGAGAAGTCAAGATCTCGTAAAGGTTGATTGTGTAATTCACAACATTTGATTGTATATTCAAACCTTGCATTTCTTGAGTTTCGTTAATATAGTAGAAATCCAATCATCGGCACTAGTCGATGATGTGATCTGGCCTGGCTCCATCCCATTCGATTGGAAGTCAGTTGTAAAATTGGATACAGATCTAATATGTCATCAAGTTTTTACCTTTGGAGGACTATGGAGGCATGTGAGAAAGAAAGCACAAAGATTTCATCACTTATGATACATATGTAAGGATCACATAAAATATTATTTCATGATAAGTTTCACTACATCTATTGATTTCTATTTTTTTTATCAAATCTAAATATGCTAGTCGGATCGTGAGATTGACTAGTATCCAGGTTTTGGATTGGTCAAAATTTCTCAAACTGGATTCGCCTTGTCCATGGTTATCTTATATGCTCTTTTGTGCACTCTATTATGAAATCAAATATCTACAGTAATTCTCACTTATCTTGCTTTTCATTGGCCCACCAGAGAAAGAATATGACATGAATCATTTTTTCAACCAGTTGATATGGCGGTGATATTTCAGGAAAAATATTATCATAGCTTTAGCGTATGGCGATAAAATGTGTATGTATTATCAATGGAGTATTATGATATGACAAAAAAATAGAGTTAATATCTTGAATGCTAAAATCGGACATTTTTCTTATAGCTCATTAGTATATGATTTATGGTGTTGTCTTCAAATGTCAAAGTATCAAACATGTTCCAACATTTCTGCTCTCGTACTTTTAAAACTATTTTCATAAACACTTGAGTGTATTTCACAAAGCATAAACTTTTTTTGAAAAAACAATGAAGGTTTTCAAAAAATATGTAATGGACTTGTATCTGAAACTTAGGATTTGAAATCGATTTCAAAGTAGATCATAATGCTTAAAGTTATACATTAGTCAATATTTTCTCATTGAGACTAACCGTGATGAAAATCACTGAGTTCTTTAATAAAATTGCATGATAATATGCCACTGATACAATTGAATTTATTAAAAATTCACTTGATACGAAATTGGAAGCCAACAGTATGGATTCTTTGAATATTTCAAAACTCCAAATTTGAACAAGTTGTTGAATTATTGTATGAAGTCAATTCAAATTTTTTGCTCTAAACAATAATTTTTATTTATAAAATGAAATTATTCGATTCTTACAAGAAATTTTATTTTTGAAACTAATTAAACTGGGCGATTAGTTGTGTTCAGTAATTAAAACCTTGTAATCTTATTTTATTGGTGAGCAAAAAGACCTCAACAATGAAGAAAAAAGCAGTAATTAGAAATAAGTATGAGAACAACATGCACTCATCTTACACATCACATCCAGACTATCATTATATTATTATTTATAGATTTAAATGAATACATTTTGGATATAGAAAATCTTTAGGTTGGAGTAGTACAACCTATGCATAGAATGCTGTAGATTGCGTCAGCCTCTAGCTTACGGTGAATCGAGGAACAATTCTCTGAGAGAGAAAAAATCAGTTGACCAACAAGTGTTAAGTTCCTTGACCATGTCCCGGTTCAATATCAAACGCCTGCGAAGCCATGGATTCAATCTATAAGGAGATGAATGGAACTTGCAACAATACAAGGGACCGCGGTCCGCTACTCCTCTTGAGGGGAAGGGAGAAGATCCTTCCACTGTGCATGTAGATGACAAATTCCTCACCATATCAATTCTCCAGATTTTTCAGAAGTAATGGCTCGAAGCAAGAGAAAGAGATGTCATTCCCCGCGTCACCTGTGGGTTCTGACAGCCCAGAAAGGAAGAAGCAAGAATGCGAGGAAACTCGCTTCTTGCTCCAGCGTTTCAGAAGGGTATAAATGTTTCAAAATTATGTAGAATTCGACTGCCTCTACTGTACAAACAATTGAATTTTTCAATCTTTTTCAATGGATGTTCATTGAGCAAATCAAGCAGTGATTTGCACTGTAAATACTTAATAAAGCTCAGACTTACACAGCTCCTACACTAATCCTAGACAAAAATATGCTGGACTAAATTAAGCTAATTTAAGCTAAAGCCATGCAGGCCTGCTCAGTTTAGTCAGGTGCTTTAATGAGATGGTGTTAGTGATTATGTTGAATAACCCTCTATAAACATCCATAGTACTGAACATAACCGAATGTAACATGAATTCCTTTTGCCCGAGCCAAGAACATTCTTTCTCGTTGGATGTTCCATAGCTTTTAATAGACCCGAAGATTTGAAATGAGGAAAACCCTGAAGCACGATTAATTAGTATCATCCCCATCAACAACATAATACAAGATACTGAATTCTCGGGGCATCCCCATCAACAACATAATACAAGATACTGAAATTCTCAGGGCGTGTCCGACATTACTGCACAAGTCACGCTTCCCGATTTGGTCTTCCAATCATGCTCATTGTAGATTGTCTCGGAAAATGCAATGGACAGAGACAGAGAACTTACACTGATTATAGACTATGTGGTCACCAGAACCAATCACACAGCCCTCCTGTGATTTTGTATGGGCCTGGAAACGGTGAATCCGATAATATTACGCGGGAGAGAGACTCGATGCTAATGTTTGACTCGCAATTTTCACGTTGCGAGGACAAAGTAGAGATGAGATGTTGGTGCAGACTCTGCGGATGAAGGAATATAGAGTGCTATCTTCTACTACATTAGCTGCTTTAAGAATCCATTATAACGTGTGAGTGTATACGAATTACTCAAAGTGATCGAGTGTTTTTCTCTGATTCTCGTTTCAATATTCTTCTGTAAGTATTGGTGAATAATATCTGAGGTTTCCACATGTCTAGTATAAATTCTACCCTTTGATGCAATAATATTTGTAAACACGTGTATTGTATCCTTCACAATACTGCTTACGAATGGGTGGGCATGCTCAACAACACCGCCTATCCCGACAACGAGAATATGGGGTTGTTCACGTACGCCGGGCGCGACCCGATCATCTACGCCAATGTCGATCGCTTGTGGCACTTCTTGAAATGTCTTCCTGACAACATCACCAACGATCGGCACAGGATCAGGAAGGATTACAATAATTCCTTCGCAATGATTTTAGCACTACAAACATTCGACCACTAGAGCTTCTTCATAATGATAAACTCAAAGCACCCATCCTTTACATCCTTTTGAATCCTTTTTAATTCAAGAGAGTTGACTGAAATTCAACATATGAAGAAATCGAAGCTGAAACGTCATTCCAGTAAGGTCGAGCCTTTACATTGGTGATCACAATCTATTCCCACAAGAGACTCCTATACTCTGGAAGGTGATTCTATGCCACATCCCATTATGTCTCCTGTACCTTTCCAATTTGCTTTTCACATTATTTGTCACACTCCTCAAGGTATTCTCGAAGTCTTACGGAGACTCCATCTCATCTGAATGCATTCGTCCGCGCATCTTCGTTGAGTACCGAACAGACTCTTCTTGGTATAGAAACTGGAAAATGAAGCGCGTGGATCCCATGCGACGCTCCATATCGTCTAAACCTCTAGATTCATGAGTGAGCACAAAGTCACGAAGTTGTATGTGATCTGTACGATACCCTCAACATTCGCACGTACAAATTGACCCCTGTGACCAGTAGTCTGACGAGTGGTTTACCCTCGCGAGCATAATCGATAAATCAATTTCATTCGGAGAGTTTGGATCGAATTTCAAGAAACGGAATACCGACTAAGATCTTTGGAGTCTATGTTTGTGTTCTTGAATTTCTGGAAAATGGAGAAGCAATTTTCCATGGCCTCAGCACTTATGGAATAGAATATAGAATCTGAATCTGATTGGGAAGTATGCAGTGCACACTTACTGTGTAATGGAAACTACCCATTCTGGAAGTCCGACACAAAGTTACTGTTTCAGACTTCAAGAAATGGATCTTGTGTTTTTCTCGCTTTCGTCGAGAATCTTTTGATGAAGGAAATTATTCTAATAAAGCCATTCATGGCTGCTTTGATATCGATAACTGTAATAAAAATCCAAGGCTTGACAAGGAGAAGTCAAGACCTCGTAAAGGTTGATTGTGTAATTCACAAGAATTTATTGTATATTCAAATCTTGTATATCTTGAGCTTCGATAACATAATATGGTAGAAAGAGACTTGTGCCGATGACGCGATCTGGCATGGCTCCATCGCATTGTAAAATTGGAAACACCACATCTAATACGTCATCAACTTTAAAACCTTGCGAGGAGTATAGACCCAAGTGAAAAAGAAAGCATCAAGATCTGATCAATTCTGATATAAAACAAAGGAGATTTAACTCCGATTTTTTTAAAGTTCATGATGTATTTAAAGGATGTTGTTGTCTTCAAATAACAAAGTATCAAACAATCTTTTCCACAATTTCTCCTCTCATACTTTCATAACTATATGCATAAACACTTGAAGGCAATATAAGATGATCAATTTTATCAAATTCAGTATTTCCTATTCAACACGTTATATAGATTTTCTTCAATCTCTACTGTATTGAACAATAGTTTTGTGTAAATTCAAACTATTCTTGATACAACGATTTTCTAAAGTTATTGAGACTTGTTTGAACGCGCTTGAATGATTATAAATGTATCCAAGCCTAGTTATAGTTTCGTATTTCTGAAAATCAATACAACTATTCTCAACTTGAATGATTACGACATGTAGATTTCATTTCATAACCCCATTTTGTATTTACAAATTAGAAATTAATTTTCTTTCATAAAATTCGCCATAATGAAGATGCTAGTCTACACTTAATGATTTTTCAAATCACTGAAATTGAATGAATTAGACTTTCCAATTAATTTTTTTAGAGGTATTTGTAAATTTTTTATAGTATATCTGAATTTTTTATGTTACTAACATGAATACTATATTTTCTTCATATTCAATGATGTGTAGAATAAGATCTACACACACTTCAGTTCATTTCTGCTAAGTCAGCATAAGAGCACCTACATTTGCCGGTGGGCGCGGATTGAAATGAAGTCTACTCTTCACATCACAACCCAGATCCCAGAGCCATAATAAACCAGATCCCGATCTATAGTCTCCTATGGATATCGATTGGGTTTAAGCTCCTATGGATATCCAGTTCCAGGCAACATGATTCGATTCAAGTCTCTTGATAAGAAATTTGAGAATGGATAACAAAGCGACCCGATCTTCAAAAATATTTGTTTTGGGATGTGGCATTCACTACTTCGAAACGAAAAGAAAAGTAGAGCTTCTCCACTCGGAACTCAAGTGCATATGGGTAGTCATCATTTACTTGTAACATATTATTTATAGTGCATGACATATAACTAATATGACATAAGTCATGTTCATGTTATTACGGATGGAAGAAGTGATTATGTTGAATAACTCTCTACCAACATCTATTGTACTGAACATAACCGAGTGTAACATGAATTCCTTTTGCCCGAACCGAGAACATTCTTTCTTAATGGATGTTCCATATTTTTTTTAATAGACCCGAAAACTTGAAATGCGGGAAAACCCAAAACCACGACTGATTACTATTATTCCCATCAACAACATAATAGAAGATACTCAGATTGTCAGGGCATGTCCAACATGACTGCACAAGTCACGCTTCTGGCTTTGGTCTTCCAATCATGCTCATTGTAGATTGTCTCGAAATATGCAATGGACACCGACAGACAGCTTACTCTGATTATAGACTATGTGGTCACCGGGACCAATCACACAGCCCTCCTGTAATTTTGTAAGGGCCTGGAAACGGTGAGGCCGATGAGCGTCCAGCAGCTGAGCGAGGCTCTGGTGCTGGAGCAGGTCCGCGTGCCGGAGTACATGGATGTGCGTTTTGCTCGACCTCCCCACGGTTTCCGCAGAGACCGACGAGGACGAGCTGGCCTAAGTAGGCACCTTCACTCACCTCCCCAGCGGAGTGATGACTGTGGACGACGTCGGCCAAAAAGATGGTGCACCTCAGGAAATGCACCGCACCCTCAACATTCCCTTCAGCACCTCCTTGGCCTCTGGGCATCACCGGGCTGGAACACTGAAATCACCGTGACTGTCATGCCCAGTTTCAGACCGCATGCTATGGCGGGAAAATCAAGAACATCATACAGGAGTTCACATGATGACATAAATCACAAAATTTGTCTGCACGTATTCACATGCTGGTTACTCTCCTCTCGGGCCTCTTACCGCCGCTTCTTAATCATCTGAAATAAACACCATTCGGATCTCCAAGCATGATGCTCTACCTTCAGTGTACGCATCTTGTTAGCCTAATGTTTGAATCTTATAATCCAGTGTATGGCGACAAGACATCAGGCATCTTCCACTTTCATCAAAATTTTGCTAAACTATCACATTATTATAGCTAAATTATCGCTTAACTAAAAACGTCTATCACAACGACAACCTTCCCCCGCAGAACACTAAGGGGATGATATGTTCCCATGCTTCACTTCATACCCACAAATCACACAAGAAGAATTGAAATAAGATTTCTATTCATGGCTTCATGGCAATGAGTGAATATCTTTTCTTCTCTTCAGTTGCATACTGTTTATCGCTGCCGAGGAGGGTCTATGTTCTTTACAATCTTAGATTTGAACTTTGTAAAAATGTCTCCAATTTTTTCAAATACTTGTACTGATTCAGGTTTCTAAAATGCACATAGAATTGCTGCATCCAGTTATGTTTCAACGTATTAGAACTCACATAGATTGATTGATCATGTATATGTTTACAATGACTTTGACGGTATGCTGTGGGCTGCAAATACTACTGTGTTTGCATTCAATAGCAAGCGTTTTCACTCATATTTGTCTGTGCAATGAATTTTGAACTTACTGATATTGTATCAAATATCCAACATATTCACAAACAGTAAGTATTGGAATCTGTATCATTAAGAGTGTTGTTTTTATCTTATCAGATGTGTTTAATTTTTTCACGGAGCAACACAAATTACCTTGGAGATTGCATGCACTTGTGTATAAGTACATCATTCTCTTCAAATCTCTCCTCTAACTTTGCAGAAAAAGAAACTTTCCCTTTTGTTTCCAGTCTTTATCATCGAGTCAGTAAAAGTAATCCAAACACTAGCTTTTCGTGATCTCCAGGTAGAGACTACTTGTAAGTTTTGAACTTCATACAAAATAGCTACTTCACTTTCATATTCTCTTTCACTGCAAAAGTGTTTCTCAAAAGATCTCTATTCAAAACTGGAAGTATCAAAACCTGCATTTTGTCAATAAGACTCCACAGTTGAGAATCCTCGGAAAGTTCAAAACCTTTTTCACTAGATGGCAGTACTCAAAGAAAAAATTCCCAGCATGTAAATGCTTTAACAAACTTTGTGACAGGTTATTTCTTATCTCCCATAAATTAACTGAGCTTCTCATCTCCAATTAAAATCAAAATGATATTGAGTCCGTCAACAATATGTAAAAGCAATATATATATATATATATATATATATATATATATATGAAACTCTCAGATGCATTGAGTAACTGAAACGATAACATAAAAAAACTTCATTCTTGCTAGATTTTAAATATGGGCGGATTAACCCAACACTCTTAATGGTACTCACATGCTAGTGAATAGCACATGCGTTATATAACATAACAGTAAGTTTAAAAGTTATTGCAAGGACAAGAATCGGTAAAAAGGCTTGCTTTTCAATTGAATTAACAATAGAATCTCTAGCCCACAGCAACCCATGAATATCATCGTAGACACTTACATGCTCTACCAATACACGTGGAATTTCAAACAAGTTGTGCCATAGCTTGAAGCAACAATTCTATGTCCACATTAGAGACCTGGAAGCCGATAAGCATGAAAAAAATGTTCATTCACGCTTCTGGTCCACAGCAGCCCGTAAATGTTTTCGTAGATATCTGCATGTTCAATCACTTGAAATTCAATTCTAACACGTCAGCACATGAAACTTTAGAAACTGGAAGCTTATGAACATGGCAAAATTGTTAGTTCATAGCATTTTACTTCACATAAGCGTGAGCAGTCTTTGTAGCACATCTTAAGCACATATATACACTCACTTTTCCAAACAAGTTTACTTCTAGCCCGTATACTAAGATATTCCACTGCAAGCAAACTTGCAAGATCGAACTAAATGAGAATAATGATAAAAGCTGAAGATGTTAAACCTGGTCTACTGCGATGTGCTTCCAAGCCAGTGTCCTAGAAGTGAAGTGAAGAAGTCATGCATCCAAGCACTCAACGGAGCTGTACTCCTCCAACATATATAGTCATCTTCCTCCGTAAAGTCAATCTGAATCCAGAATGATTTTTGCACCACAACCATACGTACACTATAATTCCTTCGCAATGATTTTAGCACTACAAACATTCGACCACTAGAGCTTCTTCACAATGATAAACTAAAAGCACCTATCCTTTAAATCCTTTTGAATCTTTTTTAATTCAAGAGAGTTGACTGAAATTCAACATATGAAGTGATCGAAGCTGAAACGTCATTCCAGTAGGTCGAGCCTTTACATTGGTGATCACAATTTAATCCCATAAGAGACTCCCTTATTCTGGAAGATGATACCATGACACATCCCATTTGTCTCCTGTACCCTTCCAATTTGCTTTTCGGAATAATTGTCACACTCCTCAAGGTATTCTCGAACTCCTTTCTGGAGATTCCGTCTCATCTTAAACCTTTAGTCCGCTTGTCTATGTTGAGAACTAAACAGACTCTTCTTGGTATAGAAACTGGGAAATGAAGCGCGTGGATCCCATGCAACGCTCCATATCGTCTAAACCTCTAGATTCATGAGTGAGCACAAAGTCACGAAGTCGTATGTATCTGTACGATACCCTCAACATTCGCACGTACAATGTGACCCGTGACCAGTAGTCTGACGAGTGGTTAATGCTCGCGAGCAAAATCGATTAATCAATTTCATTCGGAGAGCTTGGATCGAATCCCAAGGTAACGGAATACCGACTGCGATCTTTGGAGTCTCTCTTTCTGTTCTTGAATTTCTGGAAAAATGAGAAGCAATTTTCAATCGCCTCAGCACTTATGAAATAGAATATAGAATCTGGATCTGATTGGGTAGTATCCAGTGCACACACTTACTGTGTACTGGAAACTACCCATTCTGGAAGTCCGACACAAAGTTACTGTGTCGGACTCCAAGAAATGGATCTTGTGTTTTCGCGTTTTCGTCGAGAATCTTTTGATGAAGGCAATCATTCTCTTAAAGCCCTTCATGGCTGCTTTGATATCGATAACTGTAAAACAATCCAAGGCCTGACAAGTAGAAAGTCAATACCTCGTAAAGCTTTATTGTGTAATTCACAAGAGTTGATTGTATATTTAAATCTTGTATATATTGAGCTCCGAGAACATTATTTGGTAGAAAGAGACGAGTGCCGATGACGCGATCTGGCGTGGCTCCATCCCATTGAAAAATTGGAAATGCTACATCTAAAACGTCATCAAGTTTAAACCTTGCGAGTAGTACAGTAGTCTCCCAGTTAAATACGCATCCTGGTTAGGTACGCGTTTTTATTGCACAAAAATAGGGTTTAACCCATGACATGTCGTTCATTTGATTTATGGTGAAAAATTGTTACTCCTCCTAGTGGTTGTCTCATATCTGATTAGAAACTTGAACCTCTAGTGGCTAATATATACTCGTTTAACATTAGAGACAAACTCTCATAATAGAGGAAAAAGCAAGCCACTATCGCAAAATGAAGAAAAAATTATATCTTTTTTTTGAGATTTTAGATTATATTGGGCTATAACAGTTAACGTTTCTAGAGTCCATGATAAAATTTCAAATCATTCTCCTAGAAGCAACACCTTTTACAACTCACTTGGCAATTGAATACGACTTAGCAATTACAAATATGTGTTGGAGTCCATATATGAAATCAATAAACTCAATGCAATATATTTTTATTTGGCGGTGTCAATAGATGTTAGAAGAGTGATATTACAAAGTCTTCTCTTTAACTTCATCATACATTAACTCAATTTAGCTTTGTGATTTGTTCCGTTTGTCTCATCTTCATGATCAAGTCACTTGCAAGTTCGAGCTCTTCCAATGGAATCATGATTTTGCTCAGTTTCTCTATGATATCAAATAGCGCCTTGAATCATTTAGGAGTGTTCATATAAGATTTCTTTGACATTACACTCAAATCAAATGATTAGGAAGTCAATTTTCTTAAGTACGCACCTCCCGTTCAGTACACACAGCATTCAAAGTGCGTACTTAACCGGGAGACTTCTGTATAGACGTAAGTGAGAAAGAAAGCACCAAGATTTGATCACTTCTGATATAGATGAAAGGAGATTAAACTCGGTTTATTTTTTTAATAGCTCATCATGTCTTTAAATGATGGTGTCGTCTTCAATAACAAAGTATCAAACAATTCTCCTCTCATACTTTTATAACTATATTGATAAATACTTGAATATATTTCACAAAGCATAAACATTATTTGAAAAAAAAATGGTCTTTTAGAAACTTGTGATGTTATTATATTTCAATCTTACGATTTGAAAACTGTTTGAAATTATACAATATTTATTCATATTATATATAAAAAAAAATTCTGCCAGAGATGAACCGTGATAATTATTACTCAGTATTTTAACAAAAATTTATGATTATATGCCACCGATCCATCTAAATCTATTAAAAATCCACTTCATACAAAGTTAAAGCCAACCAATATGGATTTTTTGAATATTCGAAAAGTCCAATTTTGAAATAGTTGTTGAATTTATTGTGTGAAGTCAATACGAATTTTTAGGCAAAAAAATGTATAATATTTTTAAAACGAAATTCTTTGGTTCTATTAAGAACTTATATTTTTTACATCTATCCAAAAAATTTACGGTTCTGTTCAGTCATTGAAAATTTGTATGATTATTTTAATGGTAAGTACAAAGACCTGAAAGATGAAGAAAAAGGTAAAAAAAAAGCAATAAATATGGAAGCAACATGAACTCATTTTACACACCACCATTGTTCTAATTTTATTCAAAGATTTGAATGGAAAAAATTTGGAATTAGAAATTTTTTAGGTTAGGCTAGTTTAAAATATGCATATAATGGTGTAGAAACAACCTGATAAGTTTGAGGTAATATATATTTGCATATATTTGAGAAAATCACAAGAATACTTTCTAGAACTTTCAATTCAGCAGTTTTATTATATTATTTCAAATTATTTATATCTTTGATGGACGTTAATTTTTATATATTTGACTTAATACATGAACTAGATTCATAAGACAGTTTTAATCTGATCTAAAGTGATCTCGACGTCTTTGGAATTTCAAGATTCCCAATGACATGTAATTAATTACAAGAAAGAATTTATAAGTGAAAATAGATCTAAGTCATGTTGCTATGTAAATTTTGTATGAGGATGAGTGATATTTATAGAGATTTATTATAATGAAAGTAAGTTACAAAATAATTATACCTTACGTTAATTATACATTGAAGGCTTAAAAACCTTCTAATGAGTTTATTAATTTGAAGTTGGTGGCTGATACTCTGACTCCAATAGACTTCAACCTTGCGAAACCTCTAATAGATGGATCGAATATTCTTTATATATATTTGAATTTCTGATTCCAGGTGTTCCGAACCATCAAAGATCACACAGACATCTGCACTACTGTTCTCGTTTGGCATGATTGTCCAGCAGATTGCTAGTTGTTCAAGATAGTCATGGATATTAGGATGGTATTTTTTTATGAAAGGTTTTAAGCGAGATTAGTGAAATTAAACTACATACTAATTATCCAAAACTCATTATGGTATTTCTTGAAGCATAAATAAGGAAATAAGAAAGTTTCTAAATCAAATTTGGGAAAAAAAAATCACGTCATGACATTTTTGACAATGAAGATTTTATTTTCTGAAATAAATTTGAATCTTATTCAATCTTTAGATTGCATAATGATAGCAGAAATTTTGTGAGAAATATTTTTCTATAGTCATGTTAATGTGTCGCATTGTCTTAATTCATGATGACTTTAAACCATTTGAACTAAATATCATTGAGAAGAGTTTTGAAGGAAAATTTACATGATCAATTTTATCGAATCTATTTTATATTAAATTCGATATATATAATAGTTAATATATAAAGATATATAATATCTATTAGTTAATTTAAAAACTATTACATACATCGTTATATATTAACCCGTCAATATATAACAATATATATAGAAAATTTTTCTTTCAATTGCTACTGTATTTAACAATCGTTCTTTGTAATTTCAATGTACTCTTTAAACCATGATTCTCTAAAGTTATTGACACTTTTTTGAAAGCACTTGATTGATTATAAATGTATTCAAGCCTAGTTATGATTTAGCACTAACCTCAAACTCACTTCAACTGTTTTCTACTTGAATAAATACGATAACAACATTTCATATTTAAGAATTCATTTTCTTTCATAAGAACTGCTATAGTAATGATGCTAATCTCTGCTTAGTGATTTACAAATCCATCAAATTGAATGAATGAGACTTTCCAATTAATGTTTTGTATATGTGTTTGTAAATTTTTTATAGTATATCTTTCGTTCGAGGAGCAGAAGCTATTTGGTTAGCCTTACATCTATCCCGGGGGATCATTTCTAACACGTCTGTTGGACAAGCTCTTACACATTGAGTACAACGAATACATGTATCATAAATTTTGACTGCATGTGCCAATAATAAAAAGGCCTACTAACTCCAACGCAAATTAGCAACTAGCCCCAGCTATCCGGCCCGACATGCTCCCTGCGCAATACATGACTGGCAGATTTTTGATGTGACTAACATAAAAAAATATTATTTCCTGAATATCAATGACGTGAGTAATAAGAATTATACAAACTTCAGTTCATTTCTGCTAAGTAAGCATAAGAGCACCTACATTTGCCTATAGGTGCGACATTTGCAAAAGTCTCCTGTGGATACCCATTGGGTCTAGGCTGTAGTTAACCTAGTTTCAGGCTATATGATTCAATTCATGTCTCTTGATAAGAAAAGTCGAGAATGGATTACAAAGTGATCCGAGCCTCAAACATATTTGTTGTGCGACGTGGCGTTCGCTAGTTGGAAACTAAGAGAAAACTAGAGCTTCTCTAGTCGGAACTGAAGTGCATACAACTAGTCATGATTTACTCGGAATATAGTATTTATTAATATCTGAATGAAATATACGTCATGTTCATCTTATTACAGATGGTGGTAGATAATTATGTTGAATAACTTTCTACGAACATCTATAGTACTGAAGAGATCAAAGTTTAACATAAATTCCTTTTGCCCGAACCCGAGAACATTCTTTCTCGGTGGATGTTTCATATTTTTTTAAATAAACCCGAAGACTTGAGATGAGGGAAAACCCAAAACCACGACTAATCAGTATTATTCCTATCAACAACATAAAACAAGAAACTCAGATTGTCAGGGCATGTCCGACATGACTGCATGATAAGCGCATGCATGACTGCATGTCCTTTGCGTCAAACTAGAAAGCAAGCATTCCACAACAACACAAGTCACGCTTACGGCTTTGGTCTTCCAATCATGCTCATTGTAGATGGTCTCGAAATATGCAATGGACCGGGACTGAGAACTTGCACTGATTATAGACTATGTGATCATCAGGACCAATCACAAAGCCCTGCTGTAATATTGTAAGGTCCAGGAAACGATGAGGCCGATAAAATACGCGGGAGAGAGCCTCCGTGCTAATGTTTGGCTCGCAATTTCACGTTGCCAGGACAAGGAAGAGATTAGATGTTGGTGCAGACTCTGCGGATGGAGGAATATAGAGTGCTATCTTCTATTACATTAGCTGCTTTGACATTCCATTCTAACGTGTGATTGATTTACGAATTACTCAAAGTGATCGAGTGTTTTTCTCTGATTGAACTTTATATATTCTTTTGTAAGTTTTTGTGAGAAATATCTGAAGATTCCACATGTATAGAATAAATTCTACACTGTGATGCAACGATTTGTAAAAATATATATCGTCTGCGCTGAATCAGAAATACGAGCACTTCAATAAGTCAAAATCAACGAATTGAACTAAATATTCATCATAACATGACCTTTTCAAATTTCTTACCATCAATCTGGTTGAAGTAATTCAAATTGCGTGTCAAATCGTAGAATTTCTGTTCTTTGGTAGAAAAACTAGGACAAAGGGAAATATTAATTTTGAAGCTCGAACATAATTGCGAATTAATGTGGCGAAGCAGCGGCTTTCACTATTTCTAAAATTAACGAATGGAACATCTTTGATAAAAGATTTGTTTCTCCACTATGAAGTCCAATGCTTATTAGTAGCCGTACTAAACTCGCGATATAATATGTGATGGTATCTCAATGAAAATATATTATCCACACATATCTATGATATTATACATTTATGAATGTAACAACATTCTTTCTCGTGTGTTAAGTTATATGAACCCGAAGAATCGGGAAAACGGAATACCGTGATTAAATTATGTCTTTCCATCACCAGCGTAATACAAGAAATGCGAATTGTCTGGGGCTGTATCATGTCCGACATGACTGCAAGATAGACGCTGTTTATTACGTAAACCGGGAGAGCAAGCTTTCCATACGTACAAATGTCACGCTTTTGGCTTTGGTCTTCCAATCGAACTTATCGTAGATGGTCTCGAAAATGCAATTGACAGAGAACTCAGACTGATTTCATACAATTTAGTTACCAGTATCAATCACACAGCCTGCTGTTAATTTTAAAGCGCTGGTAAAATACGCCGGCGAGAGCCTCCGAGATAATGTATGACGCGCAGTTTTCACGTTCCAAGGACAAAGAAGATGTGAGATGCTGGTGAAGACTTTGCATTATATCTAAACAAATCATGCCACTTGACACTCTTCAGGCAAGGTGTGGCTTTGATCGGATAGAGATGCTTCCAAATTATAGCCTCGACGGAGGTCAGTTCTATGTACTAGGCTGTCCATTCTGACGGAAGACAGGCGATCCTTCTCGCATCACATTCCCAGATGCAATAATACGTGGGGACTCGAATTTGTTCGGTTTGAATAGAATAGTGGTCTCGGTCAAAGGCAGAACTTATTGAACGGACTTCCAAGTGAACAGTTTATTGTCCAGGTTGAGGCATTCCGATGCAAACCAAATTTTTGATTTTTGTCCCATCATAGTGGTTGTTGGGCACACGAATTTGATGTTGAGATACTACAACTCAAATGCTTCTGCCTTTGATTCGTGACTCAAATCCACAATGATAATTGCTGTCTGTATTTTATAGTTTTCTTTGAGTACTTATACCGAGAATTCGCGTACTTCCCTTTCATAGAAGGAGTTTGCAACCTTTGCCTCGATTTGTACCTGCACGAGGCTCTTCAGAATCACCTGAAGAGCACAGAAGTTGTACATGCAAGAGCGCAGAAGTTGGAACTATGGCGTCCTCGGTTTGAAGATAAAGCCTTCGATCCCCAGCTGCTGGTACTTGAAAGCTGAAAGCCGCGAGCTGCTCTACGCCCAAAGCTCAGGTACACCATGATGAGCATCTTGTCTGTTCAGACCCTGCACGCAGACTAAGGACAATCGTTGTGGCCCATCCGGCAATTTGGACGACAGAAGTTCTTTCTTCAGCAAGGAAAAGGACTTCACGTGAACTTTTTTTTGAAGGAAATATCCTCCTGCAATTTGCAAATTTGAATAGAATACCAGCACGTTCTTCACCACCATCTTCAAAGTGGGAAGGAATGATTGTTCTCTAGCTGCTTCTTAATTTTAAAGTGCCGAAGTTTATGGTTCCCATCCTGTTCCAGGTAGTAGAAGTTTCTCCGCTGAGGGCGCCTGAATTGATAGCTCGGAGTGGATTATATGTTCAGGTCAGGTACCTACCATGGCTGCATGAGCAGAGGAATCCTTTCGATTGGTTTCTCAATCATCTGCAATTTCAAAGTAGCTGTCAAGATGGGGGACCGTGCGATCCAGAAAGAAAGCTGGGGAAGAAGCAGGGCAAGCTTGGGCGTCGTGGCCACAGGTCGAAAGCTCGTCTGGGCTTCCTTCCTGTGCTCGATCGTCCTCGTCCTGCAATATTTAGCGCAGCCGGCAAGTGCGGATCCGGTCTTGGCCACAAGCATTGGCCAGTGCAATCCCGTCGCGTTGCAGGCTACAAACGACAGTAAAACCAGAACTGAGCAGTGCTGTCTTCCGGCTCCAAAGCGAGCGCGCATCCCGTTCAAATTGCCCAAAGTGCACCGTCTGCGCATTCGCAGGCCTGCGCACGAGCTCGCCAACGATGTGGTGTACGTGAACAAGTATAACTTGGCTTACGAGAAAATGAACGCGCTGCCTGCTGACGATCCCAGGAGCTTTCTCAGACAATGGCACGCTCACTGCTCCTTCTGCAAAAGTGCTTTCCTGCAGAGAAGGCTGAATAACTCGACCACCGGGTATCCCCTCCAATTGCACTTCAGCTGGACCTTTCTCCCATGGCACAGGATGCTGATCTACTTCCACGAGAAGATTCTGGGCAGTCTCATCAACGACCCCGACTTCACTCTCCCGTTCTGGAACTGGGACAACCAGCTGGACAACACTGCGGGCCAGATCCCCCAAATTTTCCTGCCATACAAACAATTCGCACGGAAAAAACACGGACGGCATGGAAAAATCAGGAACACGTTCCTGTACGAGGGCAAGCGCCGCAACCCCAACCACATGCCCCCGAAAGTTCTTCCCCTCACCTTCGATCGCAAACTCGAGAAGGAGCGGGCCAATTGGACGCACTCGCAGATTAGACACGCCAACCTGGGCCAGGTTTACCAGATGGTCTACAACAAGGTGAGCGCCAGAGAGTACATGGGAGGCCCATATAACACCAACTCCAACTTCACCGAAGTTGCCGACGTAAACGTAGGTGAGTCCGGGGGCGCAGAATCGCTTCACAACACTGCTCACGAATGGGTGGGCAATCTCGACAGTTCGGCCTACCCCGACAACGAGGACATGGGCGTGTTCACGTACGCCGGGCGTGACCCGATCTTCTACTCTCACCATGCCAATGTCGACCGCTTGTGGCACGTCTGGAAAGGTCTTCCCGACAACATCACCAGGGATGGTCACAGGATCAGGAAGGATTACGATGATTACGACTTCCTGGAGACGGAGTTCACATTCTTCGACGAGAACGCGGACATGGTGGTGGTGAAGGTGAAGGATACGCTGGACATCCACAAGCTGGGCTACAAATACAAATCCATGAGGGAGGCAGATAGCTTGTGGATAAACCACAAGCCCAATGGGACCAAGGCCAGCTACAAACGCAGCGAAGTCGTAGTAAGCATCAGCAACACCATCGGCAGGCAGCCCACGAGCTTCAAGCTGAGACGCCGGGCTCCCACAGCGGCCGATCTATCAGGCACGCAGGCCCTGAACGTCCAGCAGCTGAGCGAAGGCGTGGTGTTTGAGCACGTCCGCGTGCCCGAGTACATGTATGTGCGCTTCGACGTTTTCCTCGACCTCCCCACGGCTACGGCAGAGACCGACGAGGACGAGTCGGCCTACGTGGGCACCTTCACTCATCTCCCGAGCGGAGTGATGACTGTGGAGGATGTCGGCCAAAAGAAGGTGCACGTCAGAAACGACGACATGTACCGCACGCTCAACATTCGCTTCAGCACCTCCTTGGCCTTGAAGGCGCTGGGCATCACCGGCTGGAACACTGAAATCACCGTGACTGTCGTACCCAGGTTCAGACCGCACGGCTATGGCTGGAACATCAAGGGCATCAAATTCGACTGCCTAAGACAGGAGTTCACATGATCACATACATCACAGAATTTGCCTGCACACATGCACATGCTTGTGACTCTCCTCCCGATGTTGTGCATCTGGAGATCGTGATAAGGTATCATTTGGAATAAACCACCACGGGCCCGAAGCATGATGCTCAACCTGCAGACTTGTTAGCCTATCTGCAGGCTCGTCTTTAATAATGCTAGTAGGTAATAATCCAGGCGACAAGACATCTGGTGTCGTCTGTACTTGCAGGCATCTTCCACTTTGATAAAATTTCACTGAACTTTCCCGCGTCTATCACAACGATGACATTCCCTCGCACAACGCTCACTGGATAATATTTTCCCATGGTTCAATTCGTGCTCACAAATCATACAAGAAATATCGAAATAAGATATCTGTTAGTTGCGTCATGGAAATGAGTGAAGTACTTTTTCTCTTCTTGTGAAATCCTGTTTATCGCTGCCGAGGACAGTCTATGATCTAGATCTATGAACAGAATTTGTTCTTTTATTTTTCTAATAAGCATTGAAGTCAAGATTGGTATAACAAGTACTGGATTTATCAAGAGCATGATAGTCTACCTCTTGTATCTTGAAGATGTGATGGTACATCTAATTAATTTAATCGTATTCCATCTTAAGCAGATTTGTTAGTAAATCAAATCATAGCTATAAATAATAAGATTGAGTACATAAGAAAGTGGACGATTAGTGCCACACCCGTTTTTACTAGGGTCACACTCGCCCGTGTAAGTTGCCTCAATCAAAGCCGCCGAAGGGGGTTGAAGCGACATGGCAAACGAAATAGGTCAATAGAACGGTAGCACCGGCTAGCGGTACAAGCGGCAGCAACGCGGGAGGCAGCGACGGCCACAGCGGCCCCGCGTCCCTCAAAGCCTCTCGACTATGCTCTCTTCTACCTTGAGTTCTACCCCTCAAACTTAGCTGCGGACGAGCTCGTCTTAGCAGCTAGGTTTGAGGGGAGTCATGCTTTGACACGCAATCAGTTGTTTATATGTAGCGGGTGTGGATCTGGTAAATACGAGTGTGGCCCTAGTCGTCACTCATAAGAAATAGTGGGGCATCTTATGTACAATTTTATCATATATGAATATATACAATCTTTCATTCACTGTATTTTACAACAACAAATGGTAATTATTATGCAATATTTATTTTTCCATTTTAGTTTTAAAATATTTTTCAACAATTTTATTTACTTCATTTTTCATTCACTTTTCTTTACGTATAGTTGTTAAAATAATTACTTTAATCTTTTGAGTAAATTAAGATCACAATTTTTATTGATTTTTAAATTTTTCAAGATAGTGATTAAAAAGTATATCTCAAATTTTAATTTTTAAATTAATAAGATTAAAAAAAATAATTTAGAGCAATTATTATATATTATTTACAAGCGATTTTATGTTTTTTATAAGTAAATTTAATTTATTATTTTAACAGAGTGTATTTTTAAATTATAATCAATAAACATTTTCATTTAGTGTGTAGAGTATACATCTATATTGTGATTTAACTGAATTATAGACAGTTATTTGTTATCATACTATAGATAAATTTTACAGTATTATTGTTTTTATCAAATAAAATTTGTTTAGAACTTGTTTGCCTAGTATTTTTTTCAAAATATCAGAAGTAAATAGATCGAAAATTAAATTAAATTAGAATAGAATTAACATCAAAATATTTATTACCATTTAAATGACGACATAACATTCTGTATCAACACCCGATTCAACATAACATTCTGTATCAACACATCGAGATCGCATAGAATTTAGAACCGATTCAGCACATCGAGATAGCAGAGAGTAAGCATCATGTATAATCCCGAGCTCCAAACTTGTTTAGCTCGTCGAACACAATTTTTTGCAGATTTTAAGAGGCACCTCGATGATTATCGCTTGCTGCAACTTAGAACTAGTTAATTTACAAAGTTTGTACAAGGCAAAGCCGAACGTGACATATGGTTGGAGCGAGACTCCTACTTCATCCACCTATCACAGGATATAATTTTCTGTTGTACACAATAAGACACTGAATCCAGAGTGATCAACATGGGACCAGGATTTTCCTCCATGTGCATCCCACCTGCGTAGCTCCGATTCAGCTCCGCGTCCTCTGTCGTGATAAGCATGCAGACGCACAGTTTCGGCCAGCATAAGGCAAAAGCAAAGCCTGATTTCGATCTCACGGATTTCGATTTCGAGTAGCTACTGCCAGATTTCGATCGCACGGAAGCATCGGTTCACGCCGAGAGGAGCTCCGCAATCTTCCGTAGAATTCGATTCGAGTCTCACTCAAGCTGACCCGGTGACGGCAAGATCGGGTTTCTGGTCGCCTTCGGTTGTACCATCGTCGCGGTTGCCGAACACGGGACCGCCCAGACCCGCAGAGTCCTTGACGCCATCAGACTCACTCACGATAGGCACCCCGGAGGCGTCCTTAGTGCTGTCCACGCGGTCCTTAGTGCTCTCGGTGTTCGCTCCGGGAGCCATGCTGTAGGCGGTGGCAGTGCGACTGCCCGGGGGGTTCGCTCCTTGGGCTCCTGACATCTCCGATTTCTTTCCTCCTCTAGCTTCGACAATTGCAAATCTTGCAGATGCAAATCCTGCACCTCCCGAGCTTTCTTATACGACCCCCTTTGGTGCTTGGGGTGAAACACGTGTCGATGTGAAGTGCATCTGCAGCGCGAGGTGTCGTGGCGCCGCTCGAAGGCTGTCCACTTGTCAGACGATGGAAGTTGGGAACGTCGTCTTTCCACTTGTCCATCCAGCGTTGGGGAATTGACTTCCGCCATCGTTATCCTCACTTCACTGTCTGCCTGCTCATATCGAGACAGTGGTTGCTACACCAGCGCTGAAGTGTAAGCATTGAAGTGGGATTTCGGTTGGAGCTTTTGTAGCCTCTTCAGGGCCGAAGTCATGGGCAGAAAGCCAAAGTGAAAAGTCAAGGTCAACATACTCTGTCATTTGAGGTTGTTCTGAAGAATGTTCCACGAGGCAATCAATCCGCCATGAGAACTTCCAGATTCCATCGTGGCTATATTCGTCATCTCATGGTTACATTCGTCGGTGACTTAGCCCTTGTCAGTCACAGACCACTGCAATTTCTCATACCAGCCAGCTGCACGATCGTTGGGTTCGAACCAGACCTGTGTTTGAGTCCGGGATAGGATATACTCACGGAAGTATAAATGCTCGTCGTCAACGGATTCGGACCAGTTAGGACCCGCAAGACCCGTGCTCGAATCCCGCCGAGGTGCATCGACAGGGGAGTATCCTACAAGAGGAGCAGAGCAATACATGGGATCCCAGGCCTGAACCCGCTGTAAAATCAGGCCAAAAAAAATAATTGAAGGTAAAACCTACTTCGTTGTCCGGCTGCTCTGATTTGCCATATTCTGCGTCTGCAATTTAATTGTCCTACAATTCAATTACAGTACAGCCCTCATAGGGAAGCGCTTCAGTGCAGGATTTGTAGACTATCCGTGACGACTCCTCGTGTTTCGTCCACGTGCTCACTTTTCGTCCACACCTTGACTAACTTGTGCATTGCTTGAGCGAAACCGGTGGTGATGTGCATAAAACATCCATGCACATCACCACCGGTTTCGCTCAAGCCAGAAACGCATTATTTGGACGCGGATGGAGACTCTACTTCCTCTGTACTGTGAACCGTGATAAAGGTGATGCGGATGGATGTAGAGTCCAAGAATTTCTCATGCTAGACCGAAGTAGATCCAGTTAATGCCGATATCTGAAACGATGAGACGATGTGGCCCAACTGTTTGTGACAGGCAGAATTGTATGTGATCTATAGTCTAGACCTGCGTTTCTTGGAATTATATCATCATGACAATTTCTACTTGTTGATCGTGACTGCAAGGTGTTGAACCTTCGCACGGCAAGTGTAAATGAAAGTCAATCTAATGCGTTAGTCACAAGAATAGGCAGCTGGTAACAGCCGTATATATTTGATGAGAAAAGTAAGGAGCGTTTTATCCATTTATGCATAGCAAGAGCTGTCTCTCGGAGTTGAAAGCTGCTGCTGTATCTCTTCTGTAACCAAAACGAACGCCAACATAATGAGACTTGCTGCTCCACGTCTGAAGGTCCAAGCGCAAGAACTATATCCGGCTGAAAGCTGTTCAGGGATGCTCACAAGCGCACAACTCATTGCTGTAAGCAACAAATTTACTCAGAATGACAAGACAGTTTCAACTTGTTCCATCGTGTTCCAGAACGGGAGAGTGAAATCAGGGTCGTGGATCAAGATTCCCAAATTCTTTTGTTGGAAGTAGATCAGAATCCTGTGCCATGGGAGAGAGGTCCAACTGTAGTGCACTTGTAGGGAAAATCCTGTGGCCGAACCATTCAGCCTTCTCTGCAGGAAAGCCTCCTTGCACAAAGAGCAGCAACGGCAGTGGGATCGTACTTTTAATTTTTCAATTTATAATCGAGCTTTGTCAACGGCAGAAGATCGTACTGTCGTTTAGGCCATGAGGACCTTTGGCAACAGAGGAGCACTCTGCAATTTCCAACATTTTTCCTCTTACATAGTACTAAAACTTGTTGCATTATAAAAGTTGTTGGATAGAAGAATTTTAATTTGAGACAATGGAATCCAAAAGCAGAAGGTGGCGTACGAAGACAATGCAAACTCTCTTAGTGGTTGTCTTCCAGACTTAGACTGGAGAATAGTCGCCCTTCAACACCATCCAGCTTGTGTCACAGAAGCAGTGTGCAATTGCACACTTCAGCCGTACATGCACAGTGATCTTCAAATCAAACATCTGGTGTTGAGCAGAGAGGATTGTCTTGTTGGTTTCTGTTGGTGATAACAATAGGTCACACTGACACCTGGAATGAGAGGCAGAGGCCTATCAGTACAGGTAAACTATGAAGTGCCCTTTAGTAGCACTGCCGCCCACTACGCCATAATGAGTATGTTAGGTAGCGAGGATAGTGGGAGTAGGGTTAGGGTTAGATTGAACCCACTGTTTTGTATATATGGCCAACGCCAAAGTTGAAATGTCATCTGTGTTAACTGATGACATTTCAGCATGACTGATTGAATCTCGAGTCTCTACATGGTATCAAAGCGAGTTATCACACTCAGCTGTTAGTCTACTTCCTCAAAGTCTTGTAAGATCTATCAAAACTTGAGAAGCAGAAAAGAGCTAGTGTTCAGACAATAGAAGCAGGTGTGTAAGAATAGAACAAGTTAGCATGGCTTCTAGAGATGTTCCCATGGGAGATAACTCCAAGTTGGAAGGAAACCTTAACTATAGTTTTTGGAGTTTTAAAATGAGGAATATGCTTAGCAAAGAAGATACATTAAGGCTTGGTGACCCACCTGCAGTGCCTATAGCACCGACGACTCCCGCTGAGATTGCAGCGCTGCAACTACAGAAGTACAAGGCATTGACAATTATCGCACTCTCAGTGAGAGATAACATCATTCCTTACATCTCTAACATCACGGAACGAGATGAGTGCTGGAGGGTTCTGAAAGACCTCTATGCCAACAACACTAACTCACGCAAGTTGTTGCTACGCAGGAAGCTAACCAATTTGAAGATGCAGGAGGGTAGCTCAATGTCAGAGTTTTTGCATCACCTGAAAGAACTGCTTAATGAGTTTGCATGCATCGGTTTGACAGTCACCGATGCTGAGGTTGTTGAACACGGTCTAATGGCGCTTCTCGAATCTTACGAAGGACTTGTCAATACATTAATGTATCGACCTGCATTGCTCACCGCTTCAGAACTTACAATAATACTCGTGGAGGATGACATCCGTCAAGAGCTCAGAGTCGGCAAACGTGTCGAAGATGAAGCTCTGTTCATCAAAAGCGGTAACAAGAAGTCGAGAGCCGGCAACCGCTGTTCCAGTCCTGGAGGAGAGAACGCAAGACCCAAAACAAAAAAAACAATGTTTGCCACTATTGTGGATTGAAGGAACACTGGATGTAGAATTGTCCACACCTGGCTGTAGAGATCAAGAACCACAAGGCTCTCAGACTAGAATCCAACCCATCAATCAACCTAACTGACACCACGATGGACAACTTCATCGGTAGCGATGATGAGGAGAGAAGCAATGACGAATCAGGTTTGTTTGTCAACTTCACCGAATTGAACCTAGCCAGCAACCATGATGACACACGTACCCAAGAATGGTTCCTTGATTGCGGCGCATTAAAACATGTCACGGGTTTGAGAAACTTACTAGGCGAGTTAGAAGAAGGCTGTTGCTCTAAGATCAGCACCGCAGGAGGCCATGACTTGAATGTTGAAGGAAAAGTAAGTGTGGAGGTTCCTACTGGTTATGGCTCAATAAAATTTGACGATGTTTTGCATGTCCCTGGAGTTAGGAAAAACTTGTCAGTTGGATCCATCACCAACGGAAATAAAAAATAAAGGACCCGTTTGACTCAAACAAATTTTGATACTTGAAAGGTTTTCCTCAGCCTGATACCAAGCATATTGTGACGACTGAGAGTAGAGATCAACGAAATGGGCTTTACTGATTCAGACCATCACGGCTCTCAATCAATAGCATGGAGATTGCTACATCGAAGGACCAGCTTGGTGTGCTCTGGCACAATCGCTTGGGTCACGCCAGCTTCAAGATCATTGCCTTCATGAGGTCACATGACAAGGCTCATGGCCTTCCACTGTTGTCACTCACTTCTTTTTTCTGTACCGCCTGCCGAGAGTGTCGAGAGCCGAAGCCCAAGCGTACACCTCCACAACCTGGCCGCTTGAAGCGAGACAAGCATCTTCACACAATGAGCCCACTGGAACTGCTGCACACTGACATCTACGGGCCTCTCTCCGTTCCATCATTAGTGAGTTCTTGCTACATTTTCAACATCATTGATGACTATAGTCGGTTCACATGGTTATTATTTTTGAAGCACAAGTCTGAACTGTCTAAGTTTAGACAGTTCAGAGTGGTCATTGAATCAAGATCATTAGATCTAACAAAGGGGAAGAATTCTTCTCCAAAGCATTCATCAGTTTCTGCAGCGATTTGGGGATAGTAAGTTAGCTTACTCAGGCTCATACTCCACATCAGAATGGGATAGCGGAAAGATAGAACAGAAGTTTATTAGAACAGGCGAGATGTATGCCTTTCCCTAGCAATACTCCTTCCTATTTGTGGCCCAAAGCAATAGCAACTGCTAATTACATAATCAATAGAACCGCTACAAGAGAAAATCACGGCACTACTCCTTACGAGAAGTTCACTGGCCACACTCCTTTGATCAGCCATCTGAGAACTTTTGGATGCCGGAGCTACGTACTCGACACTTCTCCATCTTGGAAAAAAAGGGCTCCTCATTCATATGAATGTGTCTTCTTGGGTTATGATGATAACTCAAGAGGCTTAAGGAGTTACAATCGATCAACAAAAAAGATCCTTGTGTCTAAAGATGTTCAGTTTGACGAACACCACTTTACTTTCTCCTCACTAGCGTCTAAGGCCGATACTCTTATGGTGCCACTTGTAGGAGATGAATGGCCTGTCACCAAAGATGCTGAGCTCCCAGAAGAAGAGCATACTCCGATCGCGACGAACGTTCTAGCTTTACCTTCTGGCTTAGCTCCATGCCCCGAAACCATGAGCCCAAGATCATGCATCATCAATCAAAGCAACTGCATGCCTACAGCTCAACTTTCCTAGAGAGCACTTGACTTGAAAATCCGAGATGATCACGAGAGCTCGCTTGATGCCGACCATTAGCATCCACGATCATTTACTGAAGCTCTGATCAATGACTTCTCCATCGACATTCCCATGCAACTAGATGGCAGCCATCACGCCATGTTGCCACTGCATACTTATCAGAGACGCAAGAATGATTTTAATGCTCATATCACTCTAGATCACACCGATACTACACCATCTGACTCTGTGTCACCATCCACTTGCTGCAATTGCACTCATATGACTTCCTCGTGACTAGCGGACTTCTACATACACCTTACTAAGCACGCTCCACAGGTTAGTCTCCCGATAAGTATTGATGCTACTCTCCTGCATACAGGCTTGAAGAGCGCAATGGATGACGAACTAGCTTCAATTTACAAGAATGGGATTAGTTCCTCTACCTTCTGATTTCAAAGTCATCAGCACAAAATGGGTGTATCGATCAAAACAAATGCCTATGGCTCGACTGCAAAGACTCGTCACCAAGGGTTTCCAACAAAAACCTGGACAGTATTATACTAAAACATTTGCTACAGTGATCAAATGGAACACTCTTTAAAGTATCGTGACGCTAGTAGAATTCCACGTCTAGAATATATTCCATCTAGACGTTAAAACCACGTTTCTTAACGCCATTATCGAAGAGGATATCTACGTTTGCCCGCCCTTGACTTTGATGCTTTAGTCAAGCCTGGGTATGCATGCAGGTTGCACAAGGCTCTTTATAGCCTAAAGCAGGCGCCACGAGCCTGGTACACGAAGGTGGATGCGTACTTGCTGAGCCAGGGACTTACAAAGTCTCAAGCTGATTACAACCTTTACTTTCACCTCGATCAAGCTAAAATCACTCTAGTACCACTATACGTTGATGACGTATATCTAACCGGTGACAATGATGCCTATATAGCATTCATCAAGAGTGAAATCCAACAGGCTTTCGAGATGTTTGACTTAGAGCTCCTCTCGTACTCACTTGGGATAGAGATCATGTTTCAGCCTGATGGTATCTCTGTCACTCAACGACAATACATTTGTGTGATGCAGACCAAGTTTGGATTGGACAAATGCAAACCTGCTCCCACACGCATGATGGATTAATTGCGCCTGTTGCCTGATACGCAAGCTCTTCCAGCGATTCTGCATTGTATCAAAGAATGGTCGGGCAGATGATCATCCTCACCCACACACAAGTTGACATTGACTTCGCTGTTAGCATTGTTAGTAGATTTATGAAGAGCCCCCAAGAGCCTCATGCTCATGCCGTTAAGCGAATCTATCGCTATCCTCAAGATACCTCTGATCTTGCATTACTCTACAGACGAGAGGAGGAGACACAGCGAGGGGAGGAAACACACCTGCAAGGGCTTCATAGCTTCAAGGCTTCACAGACGCTGACTGGATGGCCGACATGCAGAACAGGAAGTCCACCACTGGCTACATTTTCTTTCTGGGAGGAACTCCGATCATCTAGAATAGTAGGAAGTAGCCCACCGTAGCTTTGTCTTCCACAGAATCTGAATACATGGCTGTCATTGAAGGAGCCAAGGAAGCTATCTGGTTGCAACGACTCCTTGGCAAAATGCATGCGCTAGATCTTCAAGCTTCCACCACCATTCACGGCGATAACCAAGGAAGCTTGAACCTAGCTTAAATCCTATCTACCATGGACGAACCAAACACATTGAGGTGCGTCACCATTTCATGAGAGAAAAAATTGCATCGAGTGAAATTAACCTAGCCTATGTTTTAACAAACGAACAGCTTGCAGACATATTGACCAAACTTTTAGGCAAAACAACTTTCGAAAGGCTCAGAGAACAGTTAGGTCTAACTAGATTAGAAACTCCAAAAAACCAGTACAAATCTCACTATATCTCAATCAGTTCATTGTAAGTAATAGACATAGCAATTGATTATCACCCAAAGCGCCCAAAACAAGCATGCCAGGAGCGAGGGAGGGTGTTGGTTTGAACTATTGTTATCACAAACACCTGGAATGAGAGTCAGAGGCCTATCACTACAGGTAAACTATGAAGTGTCGTTTAGGATCAATGCTGCCCGATTTGAGTATGTTAGCTAGCGATGATAGTGGGATTAGGGTTAGAGTTAGATTGAATCCACTGTTTTGTATATATGGCCAAGGCCAAAGCTGAAATGTCATCTGTGTTAATCAGTATGACTGAACCTCGAGTCTCTACAGTTTCTGGGTATTTGTTACTCTTCCGCGGGTACTCGAAAGCTGCAAACTACTAACTCAAGCAACGTACGCCATTATCAAGATGGTAAGTTGTCAGTTTTTTATGCACTTTCACAGCTGCATTGCATCTAGGTCCCTGATTATCGACGAGCATATTATTTTAAATTTTATGGTCCACATTGCTTGAAGTTCATCGAAGTACTAGAAATGTAAATTTGAATGGTTCAGAAGTGATCTGTTCAGGTCAGGTACAAAGTATAGCTGCAAGAGTCGCGGACTCCGTGCGAGTGGTTTCTCAGTTGTCAGGAATATGCATCCATCTCTCAAGATGGGAACCGTCCGATGAATGAAGAAAGCCCGGGAAGAATCAGTATTGCTTTTGGATGTATTGTCTGAAGACGATGCAGTGGTCTAACAATAGAATATTTTGAAATGTTTCAAACCAAAAAGTGCTTCGAATATCACTAGGTGCCTATATAATGGAGTGCTATTCTAATTTTGGCCTATGCAATTCACAAAAGGTTACGATTTGGTGTCCGACAGTGAGTTCCCTGTACTTAGGGTGGTTATTACGCTGTTGTTGTGAGAGATGGACAATTGTTTTGGGCTTACTAAAGTATCCTTTCAAATTTTGAAAATAAGATAATTCATTGAGTTTGATCAGATATATGTGACTTTGACATAGTTCGCAAATGCACCTTATTAATTTTGTTCATAATTTTGAACAATTTCATTTGGGGTGTCTGCCAATAATAGTTTATCATGAGTTTAGAGATGAAAATCATCAGTATATTACGTTCTTGAGACAATATTGGTTTCCAAACTACAAATTATTATTTTTTGGATATACAATTTCATGCTAAAAGTGCATACCGCATTTTCAGCATCGCCCATAGTTTAGGAACTAAGCAAGTTGAGAAAATCTCAAATGTTGCACATTTCTATTGCAGATCACATAGAAGCGATGGTGGACAATCTACAAGGATTGAATGAATTCAACGGAAACTTGGGAGAGTAATCAAAAAGTCATATACTTAAATGCGCAGCTTGATAAGTATCGGCTGATGTGATAACCACAAACGTTCAATATTGTTATGAGATATTAGACAAAAAGTCGAGATGTAAAGTGAGATATCATCTTACTACGAAAGACATCAGTTATCAGGTGCTCGATAAACCAAGCACTTCCTTGTGTATCAAAATTTACCGAGAAGTGGCAAAGACTGGCTAAAGAATTTGAATCTAGACCTCGATTGCTACGGAAGAAGAACAGTGATTCTCTTGTCTCACTAAACTAGTGAGAGATTCTGTGAGACTTCAAATTTCGTTAGCTTTGTTTGACAAATTGTTAAGGATTATCTTAACCGACCGAATATAGAACTGGCTGGCGAACGAGGCCGAATAGAACTGGCTGCTTACCTCAGAGGATAAGTGGGTTTCCGGATAGGGCAGCATGATTTCTTGGTACAGATTCAAAAAAACTGCGGATAACATTCTTCCGATCTTGTCGGAAAGGACGTCGGAAGTCAGAACACGGTCTGTCCTGGATGATGGAAGAAAAGATGCGAGTCCCGTCAACGTTAATGTGTGACCATCCGACGAGGCTGAAGTAAGCGTGACACAGGACGTGACATAACAAGATGGAAGTCAGCCTATAACAAGGAATATGAGTTCTGGTTCAGTCAATATTCAACAATTTCATCCATTCCTTCTCTTTACAATACAAACTTCAGACAGACAGAGTAATAAACGATTTTGTATACTGGCAGTTTGTCTAGGCATCCAAAAAGTAGTATCAGGGTGAAGTGGATGATAGCATGGATGCTCAATCAGTACCATCGCCATTCTTATTTGATCTACAAATATTTTTTTGGATAAGGCATCAAATTCTTCTAGCATTGATTAAGACATTGTTAAAAATGTCTTGATAAGGTGACTAGGGAGTTGGTAGAAGAGCAACCTTTAACAATTCTAAATTCAGTATCTATATGTGATCTACTTCCAGATGATATCTCTCCTTCTTCAATGGGTGAGGAGGACTCTTTTGCAGTTGCCGTAGCTTGCCAACACTCAAGCTAACTCTCAAGTAGACTCTGCGCTATCCTCATGAGGTGAACGTAGCGTTCCCACCTCGGAACTAAAGACTAACAGGTCACAAGTGTCATGATCAATATTAAACGTACTCTCTAACACGACATGCAGAATAAGACTCCTGGAATAAGTAGTGAATGTAGCTGGTAGAAGTAAAGTATCAATCTTTCCTTCATATTCACTTGGCACACTTTTCACAAGACACCTAGTGAATTTTATTCTAGTGAATAGGTGGGTATCCAATCAAATATGCTGAAAACTATTTCGATGGACCAATGGCAGAATTTTGCATGTCCATGGTTGGGGAAAGGTTATTCCCATAGTGTCGAAATAGCTCTGTTCACAAGTGCTGCGCCAATGTGTTGGAAAGAGTTGGCTTCTTGTTGTTGCCTCTAATGCATTGCATGAAACTCATGATCCTTAGGCCCAGGACAGTCTGCTACAAACATGCAGAGAAACCATGCAGACCCAAACTCATCGTCGGTACTACTAATCTAGCTAATTAGATAAATCAGCAGTAAAATCAGATTGACACGCTCAGTCCTGACACGGAATTGCATAAGTTATGTATTTCCCCATCTCACCAGGAGGATACAAGTACAAGAGCCGAAACAATTGTTGCTCGAGACGAACTAATCTGGAGTTAATTACAATGCCGAGGGGCTCGAGTCATTTTATATTCATATAGCGCATCCTTACAGTATGCATTGAATGTGGACAGAACGAGCTTCGCTAGGTGCACTCTACCTATTGCCTGCTTTCTAGATGGAAATACTGTAAGGAACACCTTGTCCAGTGACTCCAGATTCAGATTCTGGGTACAGAAGGGTATATGGCACATTAGCTGGGCCTCTCCTGTTCGGTAGCTTAGGGTCGTTGTTTCTTTCAGTGATTCTTTGCTTAAGAGTTTGTAACCTGCCGGAAAACTCCTCGTACGCCTTCTTTATGACTGGATCCGAAGTCCACGATTCATTTAGGCGCTTGCCAAGGTACTCTTCGTCTACGGAGTGGGTCGACAGGAGCTCGATGGTGGTCATGATGGTGACGGTAGTCGACTGAGAGGACATCATGGACAACATGAATTTCTCTGGGCTGCCGATGAGCTCACCGTATTCCTTGGTGCCTTTCTCGGGGATGTGTCTCCTGACGAATGGAGGCCTGTTAGGCATGAAGCCAGCGTAGCCGTACTGACCGAAGTTTACTGCAGCATGGTGAGGTCCTGTGATCCACGATATAGTGGAAATGATCTCAATCAAGCTTGCCCTGGAGTTCAACTTAGGCCACCACGATTCGCCCTTCTTGTCTGCGTGTCCAACGTTGACAATTTCGTTCCACCAGGTTTGAATCTCTGAGTCAGACTTCACCTCATTGTCGGAGTTGTAAACATGATTCACGAAGGTCGCAACCCAAGATGAGATTATCTCCCATAGTTCTAGTCCATCTTGGGCATAAGGATAGTCTTCCAAAACCAACTTCACTTCACCTGGCTCAGATTTATGTCCTGGATCTGCCATTCCCCTGCAGATCAATAGCATGGAGATCATTAGCAACTGCAATCCACAACAATAGAAAACTCTAGTACACAGGGATCCGAAGTAATATTTTGCGTAAAGGATTCACTTAATCTGTCCTGAACTATATCCGTGGGCTTCTTCACAGATTTTGCTCTAGCTGGAAACAATCTTACCTGGCTAGCAAATCATTTGGGAGGGCGCAGCGATCAAATCTCCACAGTGCTTCGTAGACCACGGCACTGATTTGTGTGGAGTACTGCCCGGTGACAAAGTTACTTTCGATGATTCCTTTCGCTGCGATGAGAGACTGTCGAGCTGAGCTGTTGATGTACATCGTGTTCTTGTAGAGCGGACTGAGGAGAGTATAGATCGGATGCAGCTTGCTAATATTTCTGTTCGTAGATATGATAAAGGGTTCCATGATGGCGTGTGTCGACAACCTGCATTGTGAGTGGAAGCTGCTCAGTATGAAACCTTCTGTCTGTAGGACAAGGAAAGTCCTACACTGATGAAAACAGGGAATGCAACCATAAACGTCACCACGATTTTTTGGCAACCGAAAGCTAATCGACAAAGACGATCCGTACCAGTGGCTGACTAGCTCATGGTAGCCGAAGTCAACGCTGTTGACATGAATTTTCGCAAGCTCCCAAAGTTGGAAGGTCTCATTGATGCCGGGTGGCGGTGGTGTGAAAACTCTGTTTCTGCACTCTTCGCCTTCAGCCTTTGGAGGCAGAGACAGCTCAATCGCTACTGGTTTTAGGTGGCCTTCCTTGGTACGGTACAAAATGACTCTGGGAGCGTACATTGCCAACCCCTCCACCCCTGCATGAAACATGTCCAGGTAGGGTAGGAAAAGGTCGCGGTAGTCCACAGTGAAGAGCCTTTTGCCTTCGATAACCTGATCACAAGGGAGATGAAGTGAAAACGAGTTTTTGTTGCAGACCATAGCGATCTACTACTCAACCTGCTCAGAGCCCCACTAACATAACAACGGTTACTCTAATGTTCTAATGTCTCAGTCGCAAACACACATCCTAATTCAAGATTTTCAGAATTGATGGACAATTAAGGTGTCTTCCCTTGGAATGTTGACGCAATCATAGTGGAGAGTGGCAAAAGGTTCAGTTTTAGTTATTTTGTATGATGGAAATATTCTATTTTACGAGGATCTTCATGAAATGTATATGTTTTTGCATGGAGAGTTGAGCTTATTCACCTCCTCAACAGTCTGGCCTTCGAGGAAACACTCGATGTGCTCGTTCGTCAATGCAGTGGCGCCAGGAAATTTCTTTGGATCTAGAGTTGACTTCGGTGGATATTCCTGCATCAGTCAGGAGTACTTCATGTCAGAACATTCGTAATTGGTACATATTTCTGATCTTCAGGATGCTACTGCTGATGCTGGATTACTTGTAAATCGCTTCCTCGCGCTTTATGTGATCACGAACCTCGATCTCAGCCGACAAGAAGGAAATTTTGAAGAACGGCACTTACTTGAACAGCCTTGATGACCATAGGATTCAAGCCTGCTAGAAACTGACGCCCGAATTCTAAATCATTCTTCCAGCCCCACTTCGTCACTGCATTTAACACCAGCTCGATGATCAGCCACATTCTTGATCAAAGTGCTCGTCATATTGCGTAATTCAGCTCATCATCGGAATCATGAATAGGATCAACATCATGACCACAAAGCGATTGTCTCAATGAAACTGATCCTAAATGGTGGTGGACAGTTGGAATCAGTCTTACTGGCAACAACGTCAGGAATGGGGTACACGAGCAGATCCTTGCTATCGCCATTGGCGGAGAAAATGGAGTCGAGCAGGACGAGACCGTTCTCCTCCGGCTTCACGGACCCGTTGTCCACAATGTGGCCTTTCAGGCTCACTCCATAGTCATAGAGGTCAAAGATATCACTCATTGAATCGAACTCGTTCTTGGTGGTGTCATATTTTTTCTTGATGTTGGGCATCACGCTGTGCACGAAACCCTTGAGGGCACTGGCCAAGAAGGTCGAAGACTTGGCCCTCTCAAAAGCCTCGTCTCGAGGTACGTAGTAAACATCCAGAGCGCTAGTAGTTGAAGTCTCGTAGTCCCCAAGGTTCTCTGCATATAAATTGCTTCGTCAGTCAATGTTACAAAATTCTAATATCCTCACTGCCAATGTATCTACAACAACTCCCGTTCCATCGATGGCCATCTTCGGAGCGATAGACCATTTTGTCTACACTGCTGAGTCTCGAAACTAAAGAACTGACGATGGATGCCTGATCAAAATCTCATGCTCTTTTGTCTGAGAATATAGAATGGAGCTCTTTCACGATAATTGGAGTGTCGAGGGACGCACCTCCTTTGCACATCGGGCGGCCAGTTCTGCAACGGCGAGGGTACTTGAACTCTCCCGCTCCGAGGATCGGGCGCTTGGTGGTGATGTCCTTCTCGACATTGCCGAGGTCGTTGTACACATCGTAGTCATATACTCGATCCCACTTCTGCCTCGTGCCCGTTCCGTCCCCACGGAGCTCCTGAAACTCCAGTTCCCTCAACTTCTTCAAACCGGCCGGGGTGTCGCGAGGCAGGTAAGTCTGAATCCACGCCACACACGGATCATTATCATGACCAGAAGAAGCACACAGGTCAGTAACTCCCAGCGTTGATGCGAGTTGCCAATCGAACCACTTACTCGACCGATGCGTATGCTTCTAGAGTTTCACAGCACGTCCATCCGTGCACTGATTATATGCAATGTACGATGGAAACAGAGCAAATATTAACAGGCATGCGAGCAGAAAGTGTCCAATGGGGGATCTACCTTATTACTGAAGAAGATGCGGTCCTTGCCATCGTACTTTTTTTCTGGGTAGACCCACGAGTTGCACAGAAAGTCGATCTCTTTGTTCTCAGGTTCAGGGTACTTGATTGTCAATGTCTTCATGTAGAATTCGTTCACGTGCTTGTTCTGGACTAGGATAGCGCCGGGCTGGCCGAAGTCCTTGGGCACTTTGAAGTTCACGGAATACGTGAACTCGTCAGCCACCAGATCGCCATCGTTGTCCCACCAGTTGAGCACTCCGCTATACGCCGTCTTCTTGGGCTCGTTGGTTTCTGCACAACATCAACCCACGTTTCAGATTGGCCTCGGCTTCGACTCGGCTTCCACTCGTATCGTCGAATACTCGAGGTTGTGGATTATGTGCAGCCTAATCTATTCTACTATCTGCGTGAGGCATGCAGATATGTCGTCTGACATCTCGCGCTTTTTCCCCTCGATATTTAAATATGATTTATATTCTCCGAAGATTCTCGAAAAAAGGCTACACAAATTAGCGAAATGGTGGACCATTGAGTATGACACCATGGCTATGGTCTTATATCCAACCAAATCATGCTTCTTGCAGTAGCGAGCGATTCGCACTATGATTGTCTAGTTATCGTTGGAACGGCACGAAGAACAGATCAGAATGCCACCATGGCTATGGTGTTATGTCCAACTAAATTATGCTTCCTGCAGTACAGAGCGATTCGAATTATGATTGTCTAGTTTTCGTTGGAACGACATGAAGAACAGATCAGAATGTCAACTACAGGGAGTTCGGGATTCGCACTTGGATCGATTTCGTTGCTGACGAGACAGATGAAGACCTTTCGACCGAACATGTCGACGGTGTTGTCCCAGAAAACGGCCCCGATGTCCACCAAGTCGAGCGCATTCTTCTTGGCCAGCACCAGCTTTCCCAGAACTTCGACCGTGTCGCCGTCGTCCTTGCCACCGCCGCCGAAGATCCTCGCCAACGTTGCTGGGAAGCCTTCGACCACCGAGGTCTCAGTGGCAGCCCTCACCTGCAGGCCCGTGGATTTGCTCCTGGCCCCGACCCTCTTCTTCCCCGACGATGCTTCCTGGCCCCGCAGAGCCTTGCCTCCGAACGACGAGGACTGCGCTCCCACGCCCCGAGCTGGTGCCTTGTTCCCTTGATTCAGCTGGCCCCCGCTGGAGCTCGGAACTGCAGCGGATGCTGCAATTGCCCCGACTATGCCTGCAGCAGTCGCCATGATATCGACGAATTCCCCGACGCACTTTGTCGGCTCAGGTTAAGTCGATTCCTATTTCCTCGACTTCTAAGTCCTCCTACTCCTCAAATTACTCCTCCCCGTTGCACCTGCAGACACGCCATTGCCATTGCCATTGTAAGTGACGACCATAGAGAAGCAATTCAACAAACTGTAACAGACAGTGATCGAGCTCCTTTGCTGTGCGTGATCCACAGACACACACTCACACGCATTGAAAAATCACGTCCCGAGGATTGAAACAGAGACTTCCCGATTATGGTGCCAACGAGAGACGAAAGCATGCACGTATCATAGCTTCGTGGGGTACGGTGATTGATGTCGGGAGCTCATTAAGTGGGGAGAGCTTCGGGAACTCACCTTGTGAACTATATTCCACTGGGTTGCCACATTAATATCTCACAACGTTTGATCCAAGTCCAAAAACAGGCTGGATTGTCGGGAGTGTCTCAGAACGTCGTCCACTCCAGCTGACCAGCTCGAATTCAGCTGAATGTCTGACTGCCCCACCGGATCCACGCATTTAAGTAGTGATGAGTGAAGAAGGCCACAAAGCGACGGCCATTGACCTCTGGCAGTTTGCAGCAGGAAAAATCTAAAGGCGGAAAACTCGGGTCCGAGTAACCGCCTATTGGAGGTTTTATAAACAATTGCTTGGAAATGTCGATGCGAGTGACCGCCTATTGGAGGTTTCATTAAAAAGAAGTTACTTGAAAATATCGGGGCCTAATGACCTCCTATTGGAGGTTTCATCAAATTTGGCTTGTAAAGGTTAGGGCCGAGTGACCGCCTATTGGGAGTTTCATCAAAAAGGTCCATGAAACGCTCGGGCCGACTTACCGCCTATTGGAGGCGATTGTAAGATTCCTGCATGTGCACGGTGCACGGGGCGGGCTGGAGCCCAGCACGTTTTACTTTGAGCCTAATGGCGCTCGGTCTCGTTGAATTCCCCCTGTCCTACTTTACCACTTTACTCAATTCCTACAACTCCTAGCTTTTATCAGATTGACTATCTTCACTGACGTAACCGATATATTCTTATATATCGGTTAATAAGAATATATCTTTTCTTATATAAACTTTTGTTGAATTCGTCACGTCAGTGGATAACACGGCTGATATCTGAAGGTTTGAATTTCGTACGAGAATGAGATATCTTTAGTGATAAAATCTCTGTTGTACAAAAAGGACTCACAATTCTGAATAGCACTTCCTGTGGATAACGATTACATTATCCAACATTAGTATAGTATTTCTGAATTATACTGCCTAATATTTCTGAATTATACTGCCTAATAAATTTCGAAAGAATATGATCAAGTTTATTTTCAAATTCTTTGATGTGGAGTGTTGATGTTGAGAAACTGCTTTTTTAGCATGACGGACTTTCTGTTTAAGGTACGACTTATAAACGCTAGAGTCATGAATAGTCTTCAAAAGTCTCTCTTCATTTTATTGATTCATGCGAGTTTTTTATTTTGAGGATCAAAATATAATCTGCTAACGTATTTAAGATTGTACGGTAAGCTATCATCTTGTGTCTGTAGGTATCATGTAGAATTATATGTCAATTCATATATTTGAAACGCAAAAAAACCCCCAATAAATTACAAACTTTTTTTTCGTCCCAAATTTTCAATCTTGTTGTTTTTCAGCGTATTTTATGGTGAAAAATATCAATAGTTACAATATATATATATATATATGTTATCTACTCATGTGAAGAATATATTCTTAGATTGTAATATATGTTCATAACCATTCGAAATTTCAATACGTATTTGTCTTTTTAGTGCTTTTGATGTGAAATTTATATTCAAATATTAGATACAAGTGTATTTGGTCCACTCCAAATTTTTGGGAAAATAGTTACCATCACCGGCGAACAGTAGTCCACCATTCGAAGAATTAAAAAAATTGCAAATATCTCTATTGATTTCCTCAATATCAGCACACCGTGTAGATTTAATTTATTTTGTGTTTACATCCTTTCAACTCTAAGTTTTGTAAATTATTGCTTTGTACACTAAATGACATACAAATAAACTGCAAATACTGCAATGTACAATAATTATGGACTTGTTTGAGATAAAGATGTTGAATGAGAATGTTTAAACATTGAAATGAGAATCTGTTGGAGCACTTTTTATAATAGTCCAATTCTATTCATTGACTGAATTGTCAGAAGATCTCATGTGATTTCGAATGCACGGAGCTCGAAAGTAGTGATTGTGAGCAGTGAGCCGGATGTACTTGAGGCGTACCTATTTTCGCTTATCGGGTGATTTATATACAGATATCGATTTGCTCAGGTTGCTTTGTGATTAAAATAGAAAAGACGCAGCATGGCTTACTGCATTAGGTTTAAATCATGCTGTGAAGGAGTTTTTTGTTTGTGTTGGTCCAATTCTTAGTCATGTTCCAAATAGCTTTATAGTTCGATTTAACACAACCTAGATGTTATTGTTAAATAATTATCGCCAATGATTGAAGTTTCTTCTGATATATTTTTTATTTTTTATTTTTTCATGTTGTAATTTTTCCTTCTCGTTTTATATTTCTTGTTTGCATGGATACCGGATGGTTGAATGATACTTTCGTTTTATCTAGATCGGTAGATTATCATTCTTCTTTCATGAAGACCATAAAAAATTTATATATGTTGATCCACTTATTAAATTCACCTAGTTATCTTTCAACCTTCCCGACGTGTGTAATATACTCGATAATCCTTGATGTAAATAAGAATGGAGGTAAATATATATCTTGAACTCTAATTCTTCTCGTAGGTCATCAAATATATAAAAATAAACACTATTCTATGAAAAATTAATCATTAAATCTCCATATCTGAATATATAGGTACAAAGTTACATAATCCAATTTTTCAATAATTATTTTTGGGGTGCGTGTACAATGTTGTTATGTACATTTGCTCATATTAAAGCTGACCATATAACTTGATAGGATCTACCATTGTATCAATTAAATCTTAAAATGGGTACATATGATGACAGGGGGACCATAATGATACTTACATAATTTTCAAGTCAAATGAAAGAACCCTTTGTAAAGAACCAAGATAGAACAAAAGAAAACAAACGTACCCTAGCGCCGATTATACCCTCTTGGTCGTCACTTGTTAGAGAATGCTGTCTCCAACTCTCCATATTCCGCAATCCGACATCTCACACCCCAAGAACGCACAAAGGAAGTCCCACCTTGCCACATCAAGATATGGAAACAGAAAGCCGACGTTTTCGATTCTATTACGAGACGGTGGCTTCTCTGGGAGCCGACAGAAAGCCAACAACAAGGTTACCTTTGTTTCTTCTGACGTGTTCTGCAAGCGAGGAATATGTCGTTTACCAAATCCAACGTTAACCACGGTCAGGACCGGCGGCTACCCGAACAGGCAATAACTCGCTGCAGTACAACGACGTAGCAATTCACGACGACGTAAAAGGAATAACCACGTCCGGACATCGAGCACAGAACGCGCCTGAAATCATGGCCGGCAGAGGGTCACAATCTTGGATAATGTGTAACGTCGAAAGAGCGTAAGTGCACAGAGTAGTCGAAAGCCCGTGGCACCAACGGGTGGCGGAGCGGCGACCTCCGGATATCAGATAGCGCCCGAAGCAGGTGCGAATCAATCCGGAGCGTTGAAAAGTAGTGTCCACAAGTTCATACGTTCTGGCACCGACTTGGCCTTGGCCGTACGTAGACTAGGGACTACGACCGGAGGTTCTCGCTTCTGTGGCCCAGTTCCAAATCTTTGACGTCGTAGAGATGACTGAGTAATCCATCCGTCGCGCGTCACACCGCAGCCGTCAACCGAGTGATGACGACGACCGCAGGCATGAGAATCACATGAACTAGAAACTTGGACTAGGTTTTAGGTGCTTTCTGGCGACCCCGCCCATAGTCAAATTCCTCAGTGCTCCAGGCGAGCACGCATTCGTAGATCGGCGCTCGTAACTGCAGCGCTCTCCCAGACGACTGCCAGCTCACCATTGAATCGTTCGCTACTCCTTGGAATCTACACGTAGTGCCTTCGAGGCGGATGGAGTACATTTGTTCGGAGTACTGTACTGTACTCCTCCTCCAGTCGACTACCAGCTCACCATTGAATCGTTCGCTACTCCTTTGAATCTACACGTAGTGCCTTCGAGGTGGATGGAGTACATTGGTTCGGAGTACTGTACTCCTCCTCCAGTCGACGTAGTACGCGATCAATGGTGGTTCTCAGATAATCAGTCTGGCAAAACAAAATCGAAAATCCATGGACGCGGTTGAAGATGGGTGGAATCCAACCATGTCAAGAGCATGCTCAAACTTGGAGACGTTTACAGCCATTCCAATCCCGTTACCTGCATTCCTTACAAGCAGATCAGGCAACTGTGTAAATCCCTTAACTTTGTAAATCCGGGCCAAACTTGTTGCCTACGAGGTCGTAGACTTGCTAACAAATCAGGCACTACATTAAATCTCTGAAGTCCTTAATCTGCTGGAGCATGGAGAAGCAGATTATGCGAGGGTACGATTTATTGACAATCGTAGACTCTACGCCTTGCGTGACTATCCTGCAGCAATTTCTGAAGCGATTGAAGAATTAATGAAGGATCGATCTGAACCGGGTTCCCATTCTCCTGCTTCGTGTACTGGTCGGGGAATGGGAATCCATTCGTGTACTGGTCCCTGGTATTCCGCCATGTGCATATAATTCTTGCAGATGTTCCGCCCACGTTTTTGGCGTGCCCTGCGGCCATCATTGCATCTATTTTGACGACATGCTTCGGAGCAGAGCAGAGGGATGAGATTTGCTCGAAATGCTTGTGTACTGAACGGGCGGACGATGATTCAGTGGCGCAGGGATTCGTTTCGACCGAACTTGTCATCATTTTATGATTGTCCGGGCCCAGCCCGAACGATCATAAAATAAGTTTGTACTGGGCTCAATGGTCGACTGCAGTGCAGTCATTGAATGCGAAGGCTTCAGGAAACTGTAGCTGATATTTGATTTTAGAGTATCTTGACAATTTACAGCTGGGCCCAATGGGTGGAGCACCTGAAAGTTCACTTTCCTCATGCCTGTTGAGGTTTCTATGTAGCGTCTACGGCTGAGAGGGCTGAGTCCTGTGTTTGCACTAGCTGCTTCGAGCTACTTTGAGGAAAGTAAGTTCCCTCGCTCTGATTGATTGCCTTCTTCCTCGATCACATGGTCTCAGTCAACACTGTCCAGTATTAAAGGTTCACCTCCTGGTTATATGGCTTCTCAAAACAAGCGAAATCACTGGGAATAAAAACAATTTGGCTGCTCTTCGTTATGAGCTTGTAAAGAGAATAATCAGGTCGTGGTACTCACATCAGTTGAAAACATTTTATAATAAAGAAGAAAAAATCACAGGGAGTTGAAGAAGGCATTTTCTTCCTGTGCCCAAATTGAACTCGTTGCACTTGCTCTCCCTCTTCCACATTTCGAGTTTTTCTATTGTAATAACTCGTTTACACCGAAAGTTTTACGTTTCACTTGTTTTTTTCTGTGAGAAGCGACAGCAGGTTTAGAAACTTTTTTTGGCAAAGCTTGAATTCTGGCAACGATGAGAACCATTGGAAGGCTAAACTCAAGAAGACCGAAACTTTCATCTTCCAGGAGAGCATAAAATATATAGAAGTGAACCATGAACTCAAACGTACCCAGTCCTGCGTTTGAGTTCATGGTTCACTTCTATATTTTGTGCTCTCCTGGGATATGACTGGGTACCTCCCATCCGGAATGTCGTCGATCACGTTGAAGATCATAAGCAAAGGTAACGACGTGCTCGCTACCTGCACCAGGACATCACCGGCTACATGACGCACCGGTCTTTCATATTCTTGGCATGTGTGAAAAGACAGAATCGAATACCAAAAAGGTTGGTAAGGCCTCCTCAATCAACTCGGACATGATGAGGCAAAGGGGCAACAAGGAGCTGGCCTCAATAGCATCTCGATGGGAGATATCATATCTCCCAGTTACATATCTCAGATATGTAACTGTTCTTGCAGTATACTCTAAACACCAGCCACCTTTTGCATCACTGCATTTGTGTCAGCTCAAGAAACTGTTCCATCAGGATGATGAACAGTTTAACAGCAATCTCAGACTGCCATGATTCCTAAACCGTAAACACGGGAAAAGGGGCAATCAGCGAGTCAGCTCGAACAACGAGAACCAAGGCAGAAATGGCTACAGGGATGCAGGCACATGGGAAATACGAAGAGCTCGGAATGGAGAGAGCAGTCCGAGGGCTCCAGGCCACCTGAGGATGGACCGATGGCGGACCAACAAACCCAGACAAAGACGAAGGAAGAAACATCACAACAGGTGAACATCGACCAACGGGATCCCCCAAGTTCCCATGAGTGATAGAACCAAAGGCTGTACCACATGCAACGCGGATTTCCTTCGATGATTCCGTGACTGGGCAGTCGTGGAGTTTGAAACATGCCAAACAACTCTAACACTGTCAAAGCAGTTCGGGACCTGAATGATTACGAAGGATTTGAAACATTAGACACCTCAGATTCTTCCACAACATGAAACTTACATTTTTTGTCCTGGGAGTTTCAAGCCTTTGCATTCATATTTGAGCTTTTTTGGTGACGCCCGAAATTGCTGAACTTAGAGGCTATAAGAGCTCCTTCTTTCTGGGTTGATGCAGCAGCGAGCGCATCTGTACGAGAGATACAACGAAGAAAATCGTGACGGTCGGCCTTCGCAGACAAAACACAGTCTCGGTTATGAGCCGAATGCGAGTCTGCATGTGAGTGACAGGTAATTTTCTATTCAGATATCGTGACTCCACGTTGTACATGAATCTTCTTGCCGTCGTATTCCACTTTCATATTCCCTGTCAATACAATGAACTACAATCGGATTTGTATTAGACAGTGGATCTAAAGTATCGACCTCGGCCGATTGATGAATAGACCAAAGTTGAGGATTCTGAGCGCCTGAGGTCACGTTTGCGACATTCCATCACTGGAGCACATTGTCTCAGCGTCTTTGATCGACTTTCAGATTCCATCATGAAAACAGAGCTTTGGAATCAAAGCCAATAATGAACCAGCCATGAAATCTCCCCGGGACGATGTTTCAAGCTATCGTGTCGTGCAAAGTCCTTGCTTATGTCCGTGAATTGAAACGCGGCTTGAAAATCTCTGCATCCCGTATAAGGAGCATGTCCGTTTTCAGGGGAATCAGATGTACGCGCAGAAGACAAAAGGATCCGAATATCAAGGACCTCCAGAAGAATGCAATTATGCCCAAAACTCCCCGCAGGCCCTGAAGGATCGAATCCTTTGTCTGAGAGCAGAATAGCTGAGCTTTCTGTTAACGAAGTGAACACTAGGGCAGGCACAGATGGACGGGACGATCAACCGCCAGAGAAGAAATTTTTATGTGCTGCATACGGAAATGGCTTCCAGCACAACGAATGATCGTCCTCTGGCGGCCGTTCCAGGAGCAGGTGAGGATTTCAGATTTCAGGTGAGCACTTTGTAGTTCGCGTGTCAAAGAGATTGAAAAATGCATTTCTGAAGGTTTCTGCGACGTGGTCTTCGTTAAGAGGAAGCAGTTGCAGTCGGACAGGTATCTGGTTCAAATGGAGAGACGAACATGGAAGGAAGGCCAAATATTGACATTGACGAAGGCCTATGGGCACCACAACCTTCTTGTGGACTACGTTTGAGCTTCATATTCTATAGTACACCGCTGTGAGCTCTGGGTAGCAGCTTCTGATCTTCTCACATGTCCAGTTGTCGTGGGCTAAGCGCCAGATTTACAATTCCAATTTTACAGAAATTCAGCTGAAGAGGAAAGGAACACAAAAAGTTGCAGGAATTTCACGGATATAAGTGAAAGAATGCAAAGACTGGCCCCGAGAAAAGTTGGATGGTTTTCAGGCTTCCTTGGGATCTGTTCCCTACTTCACACCAAGAGTACACTTTAGTGAGCACATCCATTGGACATGCTTTAAATTTCAGCTTAGAGTCTCTATTTCCTCTTCAAGGTTTTGACATATTATCTCCTGGCATGTACTTTTCAACTTCATTCTCGTTATCTTGTAAATTCTCGCGGTTTTCTGTGTGCGCCGGAGAGTAATTTTCATCATGCAAATCGACTCCGATCACAGATTCCATTCCAAGAGCTTCAATCACCATGTGCCAACGTTACCATAGAAGCTTGAAAATCATTTGAATCTGGCTTCAATGATGTCACTTGATGCATGATGGACAGTGTAGCGAGTCCGTTCGGAATGGGCTATCCAGACGTCAGCATTTATTCTTTGGAAGTATCTATGTGCTCACTCTTTTCATATTCGGGCTGATCCACATCGATAATCCCCTTCATTCTTCACATGAGAATGTGTCAGATCCCCCCCCTATCGAATTATCTTGACTACATTATTCTCGTCACTGCTCAGTGAATTTCTTCCTCATCATGACTTGCTGTTTGTAGAAGAGAGAAAATTTTCTTCATGTATTGGAATTGTTAAAGCTTTACAAGCGCAAATGATTTAAATGTATAAATTATAACATTCATATCTTAAAATATATCAATAAAATACAAAAACTAAAAGTGTTATATTCTACAGTTATTTTCATAAAACAAAAAGCAAAAAATTCCTCCACATTTTTTTGAATCAATAAATATTATATTTTTTGACATATTTGTTGAACAAAATTGATACAATTTTTCTGCAATTCAAATCCACGAATCAAAATCTTCCATAAAAAATATAAAAAGTATCAGCCATATTGTATTGACATCATCTTTATAAAAAAAACTCTACCCTTTTTTTAAAGTGAAAAATCACATTTTTTTGTGGATTTGATTTGAAAGTTGAAGAAGAAACCTTATCAATTCTACTGCAATTTTCAAAATTTAAACATACCAAGTTTTTTTTGTTCAGAAGAAATCAATTCATACTCAAGGTAGGAGTAACTCACTTCTGTTTGATTGCAAGATTAGGAAATTGAAAGAAAAGTATCTAAGAATATAAATAAAAAATATTCTAAATGAGTTGAATGTTTTCAGACATAGTCATTTGAAAGAATAAATATAGACAAGTTCCTACAATTAATTTCGTCCCATTTTTTCATGGATACAAGGTGACTAGTAACGCTATAAGCTTACGAAAAGCTCTCATGTCACTTCTACTGACATGCTTAAACTACAATTTAGTCAGCATAAAGTGCTTACATGACATATTCATATAATTCACCTATAGTACATTCAAAATAAACTAGCTACAACTTATATAAATTTCAATTTCATTTATCACCAATGAAATATGGTTACCTGATCCAACGTATCTAAATGTAGATACATACATTTGGATTGATTGGATAAATGTATAAATTAGATACATTTTTTTATGTTTTGAGTGAAGATTGTTACATCATATAAAGTATGGAACCGCAGGGTTATGCGAAGAGTAGAATTTTATTCTGCACTAGATATGGATGCTAACTATTGTTTGCGGAATGAGTATTAGCCCCTTGTACTGTATAGCGGAGGCATCGGTTATTTAGTAAGAGGACTAACGCTCATATTGTGTTCTTTATATTTATTTTGGATATATACTTTCTCTTAAGATCACTTGCAGCTGTAATCCATACGAGAACAACTTGTTGTTGTTTTGTTGTTGTTTGAACAAGTTGTTTTAATACTCCAGTTACCGTTTAGCTGTCAATGTACATAGTGTGATATGTTAGACGCAATAGGACCTATTTTTTATTTTATTGTAACGTTATTGATATGTAATCACATAATACACAAATCGTCGATTTCTTCTATCCTACTTGATGGGGTCTTCCCACCCTTTTTTTTAAAACATTCCTTCACATTTTTCTTTCCTTCAAAGACTGGTGAAAGGAACAATATAGGATTTAATATTAAAGTATCAATGACATTCAGCAGAAGGCAAGGGAAGAAGACACTCAGACCTCCTAAAATAATAAGACATAGCCACTCAATTTAGTCCAAATTTCCCATTCAACCATTCCATGGATGCCACATAAATCTAGCACATAACTTAGTGAAACTGAGTAGTGCTATTGAGATCATTCAATTCGGTATATATAATTATGTCTCACAAATACATTACAATCGTTTCAAATGTAAGCATTTCAGGGCATTTTAGAAGCATAATGGGTTCTGAATTCTTTCTAGCAACCAGCAAGCTGATTTTTGCCAATCTTTGATATGCTAAATGGTTCTGCATCTGCCAAAAGAGAAGGTAAACTCTTCAACATGACTACATGCCCCTATTTATGGCTGTGGCTCGAAACTGAGGAGCATACAGAGTTTAACCTCCCAATAGTGTCACCTCTAATGAGTGACATCCTGACATTTGTGACGTAAAATTCCAGAACTATTAGTTTGTAACTTGTAAATTTGTCCAATAAAAATTATCCATCATTATTGTGAGTAGTGACATGATACTATCTAATAGTGACATTTCAAGCTTAGTTTCGGAGGTAAGTTCCAATCATGATGACAATACATAGATCTGAGAAAGTATAATGTCAATTAGTTTATTTAAAAGTCTATCCAACAATTCACTCTTTCCCGGTTTGAGTAAAATATCTCGTTACATATATTATCATCATTTGTTTGACTCAGATTTTTGTATATTAATCCAAATTCAAATGCAATTATAACACCAACATTAATTGTTGCGAACAATACAGAATTGCGAATGAAAGCGATCTTCAGACCAGAGTGACTAGGATAAACGTAACGTAGGATAAGAAGTGTATGCACTTTTTTTTGTGTATGAGTGATACCTCCCAATAGTGACATCCAACCCTAACACCAATGTATGTTATTATTAGGACGATATACTCAAAGTTATACACCTCCCAATAATGACGTCCAACCCTAATACCAACGTATGTTACTATTGGGAGGATATACTCAAGGCTACTCACTTTACTCTTGTGAGTGACATCTTTTAATAGTGACCTAAAACCCTAGCACCAATGTATGTCACTATCGGGAGGTATATTAAACGATCACAGGTTCTGACGTCTGACTGTACCATTATAGAAAAGAACCTGATATGGTGGTGTGTGCAGTAGATGAAATTAGAGAAAAGTGTCGAAGTAAAAAGTCATCAGGAGAGGAGGGGCAAATCGCCTAAAACAATCTCCAATCGAACACGTAAACATTTTACACACTTTTAAACCAGAAGTACTTTAATCTCGTCAACTTTGCTTGGTACATATATAACGCTTGATGTCGGAGAGACATAGTTATATTTTAATTTTTCTCAAATGTGAGTTAACTAGAATAAAGTCCAAAACGGAGCTTTCTTTTTATCGCCTGAACTGCTACGTCCAAACGGACTGAAAGAGGAAGCAAACCCTCAACTTCTTCTCACTATGATCAAACATGACTGAGGCTCACAATGGCATCAGACGATGATAAACGACAGACCTAGAGTTCATAAGCTTCCAAAATTTGATTGTTCTTTCATTAGAAAACATACACGAACTTTAAGTACCAGAATCAAGCTGGTTCATATAAATAACTGACACTGATTATCTCAACTAGTTGTGAATCTTCACATTCAAGCTTTGATTTTGAAAGAAAAAGTCCTTGATGTAAAAGGGAAAAGGTCTTGATTTTTAAAGTGTAAAGGTCAAGGCCTATGTACTGTAGGACGCAAAGACCGAACCCGTCTCTCTTGGATGTACAAATATCATGGCACCTAAGCTTTCACAGCCAATCCTTCTTTGCCAATCTATTGGCTTGCAACTTCATGAGTCCAAAAAACCTTTGCAGATGTAGAAAAGTGAGTGCTTTGAGTACACCACATCTAGAAGTGTTAGTGGCTCCAGATGTATGGGCCACCTAAAGATTTGGAACCCGAAGATTCAATGAAAGAGTGCTCTGAAACGATACAGAGTCGAGTAAATGACCTTTACTTCAGAACATACTGGGACATTATATCGAAATTGGGAAATATATGGATAACTCTTTCTCCACTGTATTTTGTGGATGTAAAGTTTATGTATGGCAATTTGGCTCTCTCACAGAAGGCATTGCATGAGCGTATTTCCTCAAGCTTCCTAGGTTTCCAAGCCCAGTCGTTAGCAACAATCAAGAGGAACCAGTAATTGTGTTTTGAATTATTCTAAGGATTCAACCAAAAAAAGTTACAAATACATCCATACGATGATAAAAAAATACGTTTGTTGAGAAATGAGTCTGCGTCAATTGTTGGAATAAAAAGAGGTGTCTCTACATTCTCTCATGTATGTGATAGAGTTGAAGCAACTGATGAGTTTGAAGATTTGTTCATTATAGGAGCTGTTAGACCACACTTTGGCACCTCTTGCTGCCAAGAAGTAGACGAGTTGTCTTTTGTTCTCTGGCAAATTGGCAGGTTCTCATCTTTGTGATGTATTGAGACTGCTGATATAAGCAGACTCAAGCATCTACTTTCTACTATTATGCACAACTGCCCAGCCACGTGGTCAGCAGGAAAGTGCGCACTGGTGTCACTTTCTCAACAAGATTGAGGTGGCCGACCTTTCTCAACTGCTTTATGTTATTCTCATCAATTATTTGCAAGTCAAAGTATCTACGGTTCATCTCAAATTGAATTCCATGCATGCCTCCAGCAAGCTAGGTTTCCTCACACTGTACTCTTAGGTTCAAAAGCAAATCTGATTTCAAAGATAAATCGGCTGAAGGTGACTTATAAGTAAATTCGCTCACGAATCGCAGTTGAGACTAATTTGACCATCTAGAATGCATTCTTATATTCTTCCAGGTTGATACTGACAATTAAGCGTGAGAATCGCCTGCAATCTAACTTTGGACTATTATAGTAATAGTGTATGAAGTCACCACGCTTCGACAATCATGAAATCTGAATCTAGAATTCAACACCTCATTCGCTTCGTCAAAATGTACTCAGAAGCGATTCAGTTTCTTTTTTTTGCTTATTACGGTCTTTGCTAATTCGAAATTGCTGGAAAGCAGAGTGCATAACCAGCAGGCGCGTGGCGGCTCTGTGTGCTGGAGTGTCGCCCAGCTTGATGAAAGTATGTAATCACAGCAATAGCATTCCTACATGTTTGACTATAATTAATTCCTGAAGCATGAATATTTGTACAAAAGTTGATCGGGAAGCTTCTTTGTAATTTGTACAAATCGGTAGTGCAGCTAAACAACTGTAACCAATAATATGACAGCTGTGAACTAAATATCAGTTTCAGATGATGGTACTAATCTACACAGCGAAGAGTGCAATGTGCCGGTTTAGGATATTCTCCAAATCAAATATTTTTTTGTATTATTATTGTACCTACTTAACGTGGACGGCAACCACATAGGAATCGTCAGGATCAATCTAAGACATTCAACTACTTGATGTTCCCTCCTTGAATACTGGTCCTCGCAGTCTCTAAACTTTAAGCACATATATTCAATTTCATACGGAATGTTGCCTTCCAGGTTTATATCTCTCCATACCAGCAAAGTTCTAACGTGAGGTGACATGGCTGAATCTGAATTCATGCCGTGTAAATTGACATTGCAGAAAATAAGCGTGTTATCAGGGAAGGGAGCCAAAACCCTTGTCTATGATAGCAGTATACCACCAAATTTGATGCATATCATAAAGAAACAGAAAGATAATCATGGACTTCCATAATAGAAAAGTACGTAGCATGATGCCATATAGTTTTGCGGAACAGAAATCAAATCTTTAGGGAATTGAAATGGCTAACATCTGATTGTGTCAGTAAGTAGGACGGTCTCTCGCTCTGTTTCAGATCCATGCAAATGTACTTCAATACAATAGCAATTCTTCTGTACTAATGAACAAAGTTATTTCTGGTTATTATAGATCTCAAAGTTCAGTATTTAAAAAACAATTAACCGCGGAAAGATGATGAAAGAATTTTTGGATATTGAACGATCTGTGATAATTGTAGTGCGCTCAAGTAATCTGAAGCAGAGTCTTAGTTCGCAGTAACAAATCCCACAACACCATGGACCATATCTACACAAGAGCCTGCTATACTACTGATATATTTACTGCAGGCCTTTGTATTCGTAATGGTGTCGATGCATGGGGCATAGAAGTGTGTTACTATAAAAGTCTTAACCGAGATGCTGTGCAAGTTTTATGTTTCGCAATTTCAATTTTCTAATTCAGTTTGGTTGAATCTGAAGCTATTTCAAACTGGGCCACGGACAGTCCGTGACCCAGACTGAAGTAGGTTCAGATAGAACCGATAAATTATAGGTCCACTACCTATGGGGGCCTAGTGTTACCTCAAAAGTCGAATTTACATTTACAGAAGATCCCCACGATTACCAATCCAACTCGAGGCCCTGCCCATCAGATCCTCACAATAAATAGCCTCACATGCAAGTTCAACTCACGCAGTCTTGTGGCCGCATCCCTCACATCTCATGCACAAGCAAGCAAGCTCTGGTCGTGCAGTACAGTGTTCCAGCTTCCGTCCGAATCCATCGCTTGAGAATCAGAAAGGGTCATATTCTCATCTTTTTCTGCAACTAATCTCTGAATCAGATAGCTAGTGTTCTCGACTCTCGTGCATGCCATTTCTTGTTTGTTGGAACACTCTCGTCTAAGCTAGTGGCACATTTGCAGTAGGGTTTCATACTCGCTTCGATTTGCTGGGATTTTCTTTCATTCAGTTTACAGACATCCTTGCCAAGGGCATGCAGAATAGCGAGATTTAGAAGAACACTGCGCCAAACGCTCTATGCAAGTGCCAGATGGTCCATCCTTTTCGTCTGCTCTACGAAATATGTTTGTATATTGTTGCACCTCTTACCGCCTCTGATCGGTCTCGTTATAGTGGGACTCTTGAATATGTCACCTGACACGTGGGGATTTGATCCGATTGTGCAGAGGAGATCTCGCAAATATGGCAATGAAGAAGGTTCTCATCGCGTTCTTGGCCATGGTGTGTTTGGCCGCCACCGTTAGTGCTCAGTTCGACACGGCTATCTGTGGACCCTATACCGAAGACAGCCCCCTGATTGAGGATGTCAAAGTAGCAGTCGACTGGATCAGAACTATTAGCAACGCTGAATGTTGTCAGACGTCGTCACGACAATGTACCACACTTTACTCTTACAATTCCACGGACCTTGATTTGTGCGGACAGTTCGACACCTGCATCGGCTGCAACTTGCCTGCCGGCGCATACTACGACGAGATATTGGCTCAGTGCGTGAGTTTGTTGCCCAGTGGCCAACGCGTGGTGCACGGATATATCGAGAAAGCAGAGTCGAACGGTGACACCTTCAAATACGTCATTGAGCCTCGAAAATGCATGCCAACGAGCTACCAGAACAAAATCATCAAGCAGATTGTGAACTGAAAGCGTCTTCCCGTGCATGCTAGGAGCACTATCAATAAGAAGATACAAGCTGCTGCTGCTGCTGCGTGGCGGCTTTGATCATAGCATGCAAGAAGTTTTATAAATATGTTTCCACTGGTCCTGGCTGAAACCTCGGTCTTGTACCAAGTGTTTGTCGTAGTTTGTGTGTGACCATGGACCCATGGCAAGCTAGCTATATCCATATCTGCGAGATACGGATACTAAAGTAGCTGGATATGCCGTGATAGTGACCAACTGCGAGCTTGTCTTTGCCATCTAATAAAGTATCGTTTTTCCATGGACTTATGAAGCAAGAGACTTGAGTATGTTCTAGAGTTTCAAGCAAACCTCATGCTGTAACCATACTGTCAGAAGTATGAAGCTCAGTATGAAAGTTTCTCCTCACTCCACGTTTTTCCAATCGCCAAACTGAATAACAGACCTTTCAAACCTTTCACCACTCAAAGAAATATTGCAAAGTGTAGGCGCCTAGTCAGTGTGCTTAGTGTACCAACACACCATTGAAGTATACATATGTTATACATCGTCAAATTTATAATTTACTGATTTAGCTCGATCTGGTACACCTAGTAAACACGAATGGTGTGCCGGTACACGGAGCATCTATTGATTTACATCGTTTTGACTTCTAGTGTTCTTGTATTTACGGCAGATATCGTTATGAGACTTTCTCCCTTACATTCGCTCGACCAGCTCCGAGTTCATCACAAGCCAGATGTCAGATGTTTCCGGTTGGCGGCCTGAGATTCGTAAGGATCACCCGGTTCCAGGCAGGCGATCTGTAATCTCCCAATGTGACAGCAGATGACAACGATTAGAAGTATTGCACATTTACATGCACCTCAAACAAACTTTAACCTACTATACTGAATGTTGAACGATGAACTCCCATGCAGACCAATCCCCAGCTAGATAATTTCGTGGATTTCGCAGTAAACGAAGACGATCAAGTCCGAAGCAACTTCAATGAAGGAATACAGTAACGAGAGGTAATTGATGAAGTTTGAACAAATTGTGGCAGAACCCATGGTTCTGCCAATAATGTCACTTGCAATTCCCCCACTTCAAACCATATATTTGAGTAGAATAATTTACAGCGTTAAACTTAATCATCTTCATTCAGCAAATATAATTAAGGTACGAGTCCTTTGAGTTCTGATGCGGCTACAGAAATCAAGCAAAACAGTCCACGTTGCATTTGCGGTCAAGCTCGACCGGTCCCATTACAACATGAAAAGCTGGACAGGAGTGGAACACCCGAAGAGCAGACGTGAGTCCAAAGTAATAAGGGTGAACAATGGCGTGGGATTGACGATGAGATTGGGAAGGGAAGTGGAGGAATGGGGGAAGGCATGCGTGCACAGACTTGGCGACGCTGGGGTGGAGAAAGGGGGAAGGAATTTGATGGAGCAAATGCAAAAAAATTTGAACCATTTCTCGATTTGTGCGTGTCATCCTTGCGCAGGGGCCATGCTAATCTTCTCTGTATCGTTCCAATTTTAACTGACGCCCCGAAGGGACGAGAGGGGAGGCGCAGTTGCGGTATATATACGCGTAAGACCTGAGGTTACAATACTTATGCCATTAATGCGCAAATACAAAACACGTGGCAATATATAACTTATAGATGGTATTCACTACCAGAAGAAATTTTAATCGAAATCGCTGAAGAGGTTAATGAGCCTTCAGATGGAGTTTGGACGATTTCAATCGAATACGGTCAACAATGTTTCGTAACATCTCCCTTATTCTCATGGAATTGGTGTGATTCACTTATTTTCTATAAACTCTATCTGTGGCTCTCCCAAGCAACTGTAAATTGCTAATGTCGTTAATTGGTGATAACATACTCAACGATGATCCGCAGAAGGGAGATAACTGGATGGTGATGAAATTCGAAACCTGTCTGTACGTGCAGAACAAAGATAATGTCCATATCTTTTACTTGATATCATTAGTTTCATCCATAAAAGCTTGGATTAGACAACAACTCCATTCTTTAGGTACTCTATCAATGACTGATCGATTCCAAATTGAACATACTGTATCTGAACTCTGGCTTACAATTTGGCTTCATATACATCTTCTTTCATGATTAATCACAATGCTATTTATTTTAGAAAATTTAATTCGAATGCACATAATTGTGATCAGGAAAGGGTAGTGAAATAGGACTTTACGATATCGATGTGGACCATCAGCTCTTGCACTGGCCCAAACTACATGGATCTAAAAGATGATCATGCTAGGCAACAATTGTATGAACAATTATACTATCAAGAGTAAATGAACGATATTTACAGCTAGGACATTTGGATGAGGTCTGACATGCGCCATGGAGTTCTAAACCTATTCCAAAGCCACTTTGATTAAGTTGCCAGTTATGTTGTAACATCCTGGTATGTTTGAGGGTCATAATTCTCAAGATCATTTTAATAAGTTTTAATTTCTTCCTGCAGAGATATCCAACCTTGGAGCTTAGTTGTGTACCAAAACTGCTAGACTTAGAGTCTTAGCGAGGTCTTACTTTAGAGATAGCTGCAGGTACATCCTTGAATAACGCAATGATGCTTTGACACGAAGAAGAATTTTGAGGTGGCACCGGTACTGGCTCTACTGTTCTTTTTCCGAGTATGACAAGTCTGAGCAAAGCAATAAGTTCATAAGATGTTCAAAGTTTAAAATCAACATAAAGGAAAACATACAATGAAAATGAATATATTTCTGTAGAACCGTATAGATTTCTTAATAGCCATTAATGCTTTTGCCATAGTTCTAGTGTTACGTCAAAACAGTTTCAAACTCTCTGGTAAACGTGTAAGAGAAAGGCTGGGACTTAAGATATTTATATAACCGGAATGAAATAATTCAGCTCTTGACGATGAAGGAATTCGTCTAAATTGAACTATCCACGCATTGAATGCTGCCAACACGGTGAGAAAAGTATGAACTTCAGGCTCTCTATGAACCAATGCTCAAGTTCAAGTTCATGTCCATCTGTTTTTGCAGCAACTTTGGTCCATAGGAACCGGCGGATCGAAAGTTCTAAATATCATTTGAGCGTTTGCAGGCTCGCCGGCACTGAAAGTGTGGGTTTTGAGGCCTAGAATCGGACGAATCGACAGGATTCTCGTCTCCTCGTTCGACAAGGCTGATGAGAATTCTGTCGATTCTCGTCAGCCTCGTCTTCCTCGAGGTAGGAGCAATTTACAGCGAGACCCGGAAGCCAACGCGATGGGTACACGTGCCAGATTGCATCCTAAAATTCAGGAACCTGTCACACTGCATCGAATGTCAAACATGGCGTCGTCGGTGACTCGCTTTTCGGTCATCTCTCAGACTTTGGACGGGAGCACAGGACGCTCTACATAGATGGCTTTGCTGGTCAGTCTGATCCGTGCTTTTGGCGATGCCCACATTAAACGTGAGGATGGATGGAGTTGCAAAACTTCCAACTCCATCCATCCTCACGATGGAAAAGGTTGGAGAAATAGTGTAAAGTGACCAAGCTGATCGAGGTGCCTGTCGTCCGAGACTTTCCACCTCCTGATGGAGTGCCATCTTCGGAAGAGTCGACTTCTCTCGATCTGTTACACTCCGCTATCGTGAGCGCTCGTGCTGTATCATGACTTCGTTCTGTAACTCCTTGAACTGAAGTCCATTTTCAACGTTGTCTATCATCACCCGGCGTTTGCTTCTTCCCTCAGAAGGTTCCGCAGTGGCCTCGTAATCACCTCCCGAAAAAATCACTTTTCTTTACGCAAACAGATAATGCCACGGTGTGTGTATCAACGGGATGCCCTTGCTCCTTCTATTCTGTCTGCGAGCTTCTCAAATCTCATTGTTTCCTTCATTTTGCGAGGTTTGATGGAGATGGTCTTTGTTCCCAAGCACAGAATTGTGGTGGACTCCGATGGATCAGCAGGATCCGATGGGTAGGAAATTCCTAATGGTTCGAGTAGCGCAAGATTTGGGGGCCTAGCCTCATGCTAACCGATTGACGGGGTCTTCCCATCCTCCTGTTTTTTCACCAGTGTTTAAATTTGTAAAACTACTCTGTCTGCCGTCCAGACGCATTTGTGTAGGCTAATGTTTGGGGGTTGTTGTAATATACACTACTGACAGTGAGTGTGAGTGTAGCCACGTCGAACCATAAAGCCCCCTGTAACGGTACATAGCTGCTTTCAGTTCCTGGACAGTCGATGATCTTCACAATTTCGCGACTACCAAGAGTACGTAAGATACTGGTAAAATGTAGTGTTCAGGCTGTTGCAAGTTTAAACCGACAGCCTTTTACTTGTATTCAACGCTTATGAACATGACTATGCAGTGAAGGTGTAGTGGATAGCTTTCTTTTTTGTTAAGATGACCCTCTCTTTTGGGATGGACTTCTCGAGGATCTCGTGAATTTCAGTCCCTCCCCCGTTCATGAATTTGACCGTCGCAGGCGTTTTCTACACGTCTCCTTCTCGTTCCTCGTAGCTTCATGAGACCATGCTAATTTGATCTGATATCAGTGTAATAAAATCAGCTCCAAACTAGATGCGATGTCTTCACAGGTACGGCCGGACTCCATATCAACACAACTATCACATTGCTAGTTTGGACGTCGTTACCTAAGCATATCCCCATGTTTCCGATATTTACTCAACTCCGAACACGCACTTAGCCACGCATGTCGTGCTTTTAGATCGATGGGATGTATTATTTCAGCGACTGGAACTTCTCTGCCATTAGTTTTATAGAGGCATCCTTTGAGAGACTCAATCTTTCACTTCACGCTGGAACCGCCCGACATGAATTTAAAATCCTCGGCATTCAAACCTCTAATACTAGTTCCACCATTAGATATTTTGTAGGTATTTTCAGTGGTGGCCGGTATATCATATCCATGGCAGAAACTGGCAAGGCACCATACCATGACTGGGCCTGATTAAAGATGAAACCCAGCTGGCCTAGTGGGAGAGAACGATGAGCTGTACGCGTTTCAGACATTTCAGAGGAGACATCCCTCCTGTTCTGTAAACGAGGGCTATCCGAGCTAACTCTAAACATATGTACAGGCAGGCATGGAAGTCGCTCGATAGCAGCTCATTGGTTTCATTAAGCAATTTTTGGCTGGAAAAAGATATTTGTAATGATAAATGACAAACTTTCTTTCCAACCACACATATGCTCTGTGACGCTGAGTGAACAGAGCAGATCAAAATATGAACAGTCTATCTTTCATTGCCATTCCAGAGACACTGCATTTTTTCACTCCATATCATTACCTGACTAGTCCTTCATATCCTGTACAAAACTTCCAACTGGATCCAGACTAAGGAATCTCAAGTTGGAATCAAATTGGAAACCTAATTCTTTCCGTTGTAACCAGCTCTTAAGGGTGGAGGATCGACTACATTCTTGACACAGGGTCAAAGGTAAAATTGTCATTACAAGATGACCTCACTCGTGTGAATCTGAACTCGGTGGCGAAAACTAGGCGAGCCGAAACACTATCGGATTGTGGAACGAGCACTAAATTCCATCGTAGTGAATTGGAATGGATGACCGATGACAGTGTTCCTGAAACATGGTGGTCAATGAAGGTGGTTAGTAAGAACTGAAGTAGCATGGACTTTCAAGATCACAATACCAACGCTGCATCATCAGGATCTGACATAAACTGCGGTCGGTGGCTGCTTAATTCTATGCTCTCAAGAGAATCTCTTATTGGGTACAAAGCATTAGCCAACAAACTCAGAGTCCATGATGTAGAGTACAAGAGTCATGCATTCCAAGTCTTAAAAATGTAACCACGATGCTTACTGCCGGGGTCCGTAAATCTTGATTTGACGTATATGAGTGTCTCTGCCATTCTGATGGTTCGACAACACAGCAATCTGTACTAAAAATGCGCGAAGAAACTCCCTGCACCGTAGCATCAGAAAAAGACCAAGCAAATAATTAGGTCTACGATGTCGGCGGCTTCAACAACTCGGTGCCTTCGGCACACGAGCCAGGAGGCAGCTCTGGCAGCCTCTGTTTACCATCGTCAACAGGAACTTCAACGATAGTAAGCATTTAGGCCATACGACATTTATCAGCAACTTGCAACATTTCTGAATCAAGTGACAGCTTTTACCCAGCTTCGACTTGAAACGAATGAGCAGAAGAACAAGTTCACAAGTCCAAGGAACCTACTTGGAGTCACTTGGACACAAGGAGATGTATACCCAACCTATCGGCTCAGCCAACTCCACCACCTTGATTTCCTACATGACGAAAGTCAACGAATCAGTTTCTTTCTCTCTCATCAAAGGCTCTTCTGAATTGGTTAAGTAGGCAATTAGAGGTAACCATTGCCTACTCAGGTTCAGGTTGTACCAAAAGTAAGGCTTTGGCAAGGCTGAGGCAACAATTTCCGGCTCTGTTGCAATGAGAACGAGACGGGCAGGGGTGCTCATACATCTAGAAGCCGAAGACCAACTTCATACCTCAACGTCCATCGAACTCCGATGAGAGGCCAAGCTAGTCAAAAAATGGTGGAAAGCTCGAACGGTAGAGAACGACGTACTCTAAGGTCATGGAATGAATTGCCGGCACGAACAGAAATCTTGTTCGGGGTGTAACTCTCATCAAGCTTGAAGTCCACGTACAAAGCCAATTGCTGTGAAATCATCAGGCGCCACACAAGTTACAGAACAATCTCGAGCTCATCACCCTTCCCCAGGAGGAGTGATGATATAAAAGAATCCTCATCACTTTCACTCTGCAGAGAAATCCATCACCGAGCTGGCATTTCAAATTGCGAAGATGCTAATCAGTGGAGAATCTTCATAGAAAGGCGAAAGAGAAGCGGGAGGAACAGTCGTTAAATTGCGTAAACCCACCTGCAGACGAACCTTCTTCTGAAACTGGATGTTAACCAAATGCGGTTGCGCTCCGTCGGATCTGAAAGAGGAGAAGAAAGGTTTTAAGCTTCAAAAAGCCTCAATTCACAAACGATTCATCCAAATGGGACACAACGAAAAACGGTGCACATCGCTGACAACAGGGGCCAATTCGAATCCCCAGAACTAGCCCAAATCGCTGCCCGCCAGCCTGCAAACAGAGACACAGAGAGACGGAAACGAGACGCAACTGCCAGTAAGTCTCGATGTTGGAATCTCGGAGAAGATCGACGCCGTTTCCAGGCTTGAAGGAGCTCACACTCCACACGGCGAGCTTACCGATCTCTCGCTTCTCTCCTTCATCCTCCTTCTCTCCTGTCCCTTCGTCGTCCATCCCAAAAACAGCTCAAGCTCAAGCTCGAGCTCGAGCTCAATCCCCTCTCCAGTCCAGCAGCAGCAGCCTCCTCCTCGAGCACGCGAATCCGAGCACAGCCTCAGGCTTCCAAGTGGACGACGACTCGGGAAATCCGAAAATCAGCCGATTCTGCGCCCGCAGCGTCGAGCTTCAAATTCCCGGCACTTCGCGCAATCCTTTCCGTTCTCCCCTCATCATAACTGCAGTACATACCGCGCTTCCTACGCAGTACGGATGACTTCCGATGATGATCCCCGTTTCTTTCGTACTGCGTCGTCGGTCGTACCCACCCGTGAAAGTGAGCCCGATCGCCAGTGGTACAGTACCTGTGAAGTTCTACAAAACTACGTCGTTGGAGTTCTACTCAGTCCAGTCGATGTGAATTTTCCTGTGACCATAGCCCCACGCAGTTCGCCTACAGGTCAAGCGTCGTTATCTAAGAAAAGAAAAGAAAAGAAAATTCAATCCGTACCAAGAATTCTTTTGTGGGAACTTATGCGCACAGAGTATGTTGAAAACCTTTTGTTCGGAGACAAAAATTATCTTTAAGATCCTTGTCTACAGTCCGACCATTATATCCTCCCTGATCGACTGTGGTGAAGGGTAACCAGGTCATAGCACCTCGTTGTGAAATATACCGACGACCACAGGTACTCCACAGGGTTTACTCCATGCACAGTTTGTCTGAATGTACACCTGGAGTTGCTGGTGGGACAAAAGTAACTGAAAGAGAGGGTTGAATCCATTCGCGCCATCGGTGTGACGAACGGAGCTAACAGTTAAGGAGGGAGCGATTTGGCTCTGGCCTTTCCCGCCATTTCTCACACGAAGACAGAGCACGCTCTTTGGCTCTCGGGCCCTGCAACGCGTTCGGTGTCGTGGTCGTGCTTCTGCATCCATTCGCTCCCCGCAGAATTGTCGTCGCTGAGATTTGGTCGGAGACTTGGGGAATTTGCGTCTTGTAAGGAGATTGGAAGATACAAGCGGATGAAATTTCAGAAACACTCGTTTGAATTTTTTTTAATTGTCACGAATTCTTAGTCGAAATGGACGAAGTTCTGTCAGCCCCGGGATTGGCGAATTTGTGGAGATTTGCAAAATATTGGTCGGGCCAGACGGAGGAGAATTGACCCTTATTTTTTTTCGCCTTTTGTTCGCGGATTGTCCTCGGGCTTTTCTACACCGTTCAGTCTACCCTTGTCGAAATGCATAGTGTCGGGGAGGTGCTGGAGAAGCTTCCTCCTAAGCATCAGAAGGAGCAGGCCGCCCTTGTCGCAAGTTATAAGGCCTCCTACGAGAAATGGCATTTCCAATTGAGGTAGTAAATACTTTCCGTCTCTACCTTCTTTGTCTAGATGCAGCTTGGAATCACTCTCGTCGTGGATTGTGAAGGAGAGTCAAGTTAGTAGTAGGTGGTCAAAATGCTCGACATCATGCCGCTTCAACCTGAAGAGAATCGAGTTCAATGCCGTGTCAATTTGATCCAAGTGTCTATGGTCCTGTTTCAGGTCCGGATTTGGGCTACTGATGTACGGGTTCGGGTCCAAAAAAGCCCTGCTGGAAGATTTTGCGACAGCAGTCCTTGTCGACGGGCCAGTTGTGGTGGTCAATGGTTATCTTCCCGTTGTAAGAATGAAAAATGTATGTAAGTATGGAGTTGCCCCTGTCTTTCTGGGATCTCTTCAAGCAGCAGTAGAGAGAGCATTTACGAAATGAGATGTGATCGAAATTAAGCGGGTGACCTTGTTGCTATTTCAGGTGGTCTTCACAATCGCAAGTGCTCTTTGGGAAGAAAATTGCGCGCAAGCGTCCGGCTCTGCGAAGAGGAGGAAGTCCATTACAGGGCAACCCCTGCTCACTCAAACTTTGGAAGATCTATTGACTTTCATACAAGGAAAATCCGAGAGTGATTGTGTGTATGTAATCGTCCACAACATCGATGGACCTGGCGTTCGCGACGATGATATCCAGCGAACTCTGGCTTTAGTTGCTGCTTGCCCTTGTGTGCGTTTCGTTGCATCAGTCGACAACGTCAATGCTCCTCTGTGTAATGTTTCTGACACACCTCCTCTCTGTGATCATGTCAACATCTATCTTGCAGATCTCAAATTTGGACCCACGTCTCAACATTACTGTAACTAACCTTTGGAGCTTCTCGTTTTCACAGTGTGGGATAAGCAGATGGCAAATACGCAGTACAACTGGTGGTGGCATCACACTCCTACATATGACGATTATTCTGTCGAGGGAATATATCTACCGGTCCATTTGGCTGCTGGTGGATCTCTAGAAACCATTAAGAGCGCCTCACTCGTTTTAAGGAGCTTAACCCCAAACGCCCAAAGTGTATTCAAAGCTTTAGCAGACTTTCAGCTCGCCCACCCTGAGGATAAAGGTACGTCTGGTCCTTGTTTGAGATCTCAGAATTTGCTCTATTGATGTCGATTTACTTCCTACCAAAACGTTAAAGTCTTCCAACATCTAGACCTGCAACTCCACTTGGGTGATGCATAGATTTAGCTGATGCTCTGTTAGTCAAGACCTTTGCCAAAGTCAGAAATGGTCGATAGAAAGTTAGCACACCCGGGTCTTCATGGTTTTCAGCTTGTCTATAGCTGAAGTTTGAGTGAGTTCTCAACGTCAGCTGAGCTGACAGTAGTAGTACTGTCTTAAACCGCGTCATCCGTTTCGAATATTATTGCGAAACTTCCTCTTCTGCATGTGTCCTTACTTCTTTGGTACTTTACGTCAGTCGTGTCTATATACTCCAATGTACTTGAAGTTGTACGTGTTGGCTTATACGGAATGGTTTGAGCGACATATACTAATCAGAACTTTTCTTTTCACAGGTCTGCCTCTTCATCAGCTCTACTCATCGTGTCGCGACCAGTTTTTGGTCAGTAGTGAGTTAACTTTGAGAGCACATCTGACAGAGTTTAAAGACCATGAGCTGGTGCGTTGGAGGAGGGGACATGATGGCCAAGATTGCCTCTTCATACCACTGACAGTAGATGCCTTGAGTAAGTTACTGCAGGATGTATATCAATAAGACCTATTTCCACGATGGCTTAAAAGTCTCCTTTACAAGACTTCACTTGACACTAGATCCAAGACGAGAGGACAGGTCAAATAACAACTAGTAAGCAGTATATATGGATCTGTCACTAATGTATAGTATATGCCCGTCTTTCCATACATGAAGCCACTTGGCTACTTCACCCTAGCAATCAGTTGACAACTCTACCTCCCCAGTGAGTACTTTTGAGCAAACCGTCATCTTGTGGAAAGCGGTGAAAGATTTTCCGAGGATCGAGGAAACTTGACCCTGGCTACAATTGTTGGTTTGGTCTGATATATCTAGCTTGAAGAGGATTTAGATTGAACTCGCCCCTCGCGGCTAGTAGGTCAGTCTCACTGGTTCAGACACGCCGAATGTATCAAGCTATTATCACTTGGCAAGACTCCAGTCGTACTTAATGAGAAGCAAGAACGGTTCCATCGCTCTGAACCGAATTAAGAGTTGCTTTTGCTTGACTCTTTATGTGCCTGTACTAAAAACTTTGATCAGGAATATGGAGGGCTAGGAGATAATGTCGCTACTAAAACATACGAGCTGCCTATATCGCATAGCTCGTCATTTAGATTCTTCGAACGAATCTGAATGACGAGACACGCCAGGGCTCCAAACCCAGGTTGACAGCAAGCCTTCCATGCCAGAGAAACCGAAGTGTGTCTGGAAAATGACGCGAACTCTCTTGGTTTTGTCCACCTCGAGGAAGACTTCTGCCGCCGGTGAAGTCTGGACTTGTTCACCGTCGCACAATGTCAACTCAGGAAAAGTATTTCTTTTGCACTCCCTCAGTGGGAGAATTGTCCATACGCTCTGACGAGCAATTTCATACCGGCAACTACTTCCAACAACAGAGAAGATGAAATCTGGAAGGCCTCGAACGATGTAGGTCCCATAAATCACAAGTAGAAGTTAAGTCCCACAAGAGAGATGGAGAGGGAGATAAAGAGATAGAGAGAGAAGAAGATCGTTTCTCCTGTCTCTTCTCACTTGAAACAAACTACGATCGCTGCGCTGGTGGGTTAATTGTACACAACGAGCCCCCAATGGAGCAGTACTTAAGAACATAACCTTGTAAGCACATCATTCGTCGTTCCCAGCTGTTCGTGGCACTCATACTGTGTGCTTTATGTATGTATGATGTTGGTCTCTGCGAACACAAAGGCTATTGGGCTACAGCACCATCAGTGATACAAACGTTGTGGGGCAGCAAGAGGTCGAGTTCTCTAGGAGATCAGGCTTGTCTTGAAGGGCTAAGGGCAAGCAAATTGCAGGGATGGATTGGACTCGTTCAAGAGAGGGATAAGCGAACGATGTAGTGATATGATGAGGGTGAAGATCCTTCGTCTCTTATATTTCCTGTACAGACGATGACAAGGGGAAAGGGTTGAACTTCGATAATAACACTGCGAACATTGAGTGAATTTGCGGGCTTTGTTACTCTTTTTCGTCTGCTTGAGCTACCTCTGATCTTCTTTCCTCCTTTTTTAGCCCATGGTCTTGATCAACAGCTTCTCCTCCCGTTTTTCTTTCACCTTCTGCCTGCAATTGTTGCAGTTGAGAAGCTTCTTGTACCTCGCAGGCCAAAGTGAGTGCAGCTTGCTGGAACCTCATGACGAAGCTGTGGATGGCCGACATCCCATATTCGACCTGAAACCACGAATTTCTCTGGAGGAAATCATGGAGCCCATTGGTGCTGTGCCTGGCATCTTGCCAAGCTCTGAGCACCGACTCATATTCTGCTTCAGCATCGAGTAAAAAGCTCATCCACCGCGACAACGTAGATGCTCCTTCTGTAAGTTCCCAGCTCTCAACTTCTCTTCGCAGATGGCTGAGTTCCGATTCCATGTCGTCTAAATTCTTCAGAAGCGCCCGTATCTCATCGGCAATCGTCGCCAAGTTTCCAGCTGTCTCATTGCCGGATTCGAGATGGGGCAGGGTTTTGTGAAACTCTAGCAACTCTGGGTACTTTTCTGCAATATACTTGACGAGACGGAGGAGGAGTTTGTCGTGCAAGTCGTACAAGAAGGTGATTCTCTTTGTTTGTATTTCCGAAGGGTCTGATCCAGTCCACGCCACCGCCTGGTCAATTTCATCTTCCCCATGAAAATCTGCAGATTCAGGAGTACACCATAGGAGGAATGCGAGTTTCAAGACGCTATGAAACTCCACGGACAGTACTATCTCGTCCGCTGCCTTCATGAGGTTCCTCAGTTGGAATCGTAGTTTCTGGCATTGTGCAGGGAGGTTCTTCTTGATGGAGAGTAGCTTCAGCTTGCCATGGATATTAGGAGTTTTCAGGAGGGCCGCGAGCTTGTCCTGTGCACTGTCTGCACCCCCTTCCTCCTGGACTAGATTTTTGAACACGTCAAGCTCGTTCTTCGAGGGACAGAGACTGAGAAAGGTTTTCAGATGGTTGGCATCAGTCGTCGGGTCATCCGAGGTGAAGATTGAGTCCAGCAGATTTACCTTGGGCAGCTGCAGAGCTCTTTGCTTCTCCAGCTGAATCTCGGCCGCCGTGGTCTTGAAGCATTCCACAAAGTTGAGAAAGATGGCGACAATCGGTTCGTCATCATCCAGGTATCCTTTGCGGCGTCTGTAGGAGTCAGCCTCCAGACGGAACAGCAGGTTTCGCGTACTGCTCTCCACCTGGAAAAGAAAGAGGGATAAGTTCTGAAGATCCTGCTCGCCTTCAGCGAAGAATGCATCCATCATCTCTTGAGTGCTCTTCTTCTCCACGCAATCTCTGATCGGATGTTTCCACAGCACGAAGGCCTCGTCGAACTCGGCACGCAGCTGAAGAAATTCCTTCTGATGAGACCTCCAGGACCTGACCTCGGAGCCGACTGCATCTTTCAGGCAGGGAATCTCGCTGTCGATGCTGAAATCCATCAAGTCAGCTGACTCTCTGGACAGATTCCTGCAGAGCTCAAGCATGACCGACGACTGCTTGTTGCCAGCAGCCCTGAGCTTTTCATAACCATACTCGATTCTGCGTGATTTTGCACGATGTTCCTCCTCCGCCGTCTTTAACTTTTCAACACCACTATGCTGCCATTTATGGGATGAAACCCAGCTCAGTGGTGAAGGAAGAGGAGGAGATGGAGGCGGAGATGGGGAAGGCAGTGAAGAACATCCTTGCTTCGAGTCCATGTCGCAGGCTTGATACACTTCCGGTGAAGTCGACCGTCGATCCACATTGTCATGACCTAGCCAACTGTAATGAGGGCAGCGCTCGTTTACCTCGACGTGCTGCATATTCCACAGGACATCTGCTCGAGACGCTGGAGGAAGTTGTGTGGATGGTCGTGGGTAGGCAATCTTCGTCTGCTGCTCTGCATCTTCCTCTCCTTGGGCCGCCGCTGCTGCTGCGTGACTAGCAACTTCACGGGAGTGAAAGTGAAGCAGGTTCAAATGCGAGGGAGTAGGAGAGGGAGGGGGAGTTGGGGGTAGAGGTGGAGAGATCGGCCAGAGCTTGTGTCCAGGATGTGGAAGAACTTGAAATCGAATCGACGGCTCGGGTCGAGGAGCATGTGGATGGGACGCCCAGTCTTTGTGGACATGACTGGTGGGGATCATGTCCAGGACCCATCTCAGCTTGGCAGAGCGCATCGCATCTCTGCACACTCGGCTCAGAAGGAGCAAATCTTTAGACAGCTGCGACACTCGATCCCGGAAGTTAAGCTTGAAATGGACGTTTTCGAGAATTTGGTCTGCGAAAGGGATATGAATCATCTGCACATAAAGCTCTGCTACTGCCCTGGAAATCTTCGGGTCCATCGCACAGTCGCCGAACCTGCCCATCTGGTCACTCGTCGGGAAGAGCTTCAGCACATTGTCTAGCGCTTCCTCCTCCAAGCTCGACACATCATGGCTCGTGAAAGCGGCAAGAATCTCTTCCACAGAACACTTCATGGACGTCTTAGTGCCGTGGCGCAGCCCAGGCAAGGGCGGAAGGCATCCTTGAGCCATCATTCGCTCCTGCAACTTCTGGGAGCGCAGTCTCGATTCCTGCGGTTGATATATGAAATTTTTTGGTCCTCGATCGGGCGAGATCTACATTATGGCACGTACAATTCAACGATGGAAATCTGAATCCCTTCTCTACGTTCCAATCACGAGATCGAGGTTTTACAACCGAAGAAGATGCTCTACATCTTGGTTCAGCTGAAGGAGGTCCCCTATTTAAACTTTTCGAGGCTCCAGATAACTGGCTGTAGATCCAAAAAGACGGGATTCAACATGGTGACCGTGCACACACACTGGTTCTCGGACTCCGAAATACTGGCATCGGAACATACCATCGATCCGGACATTCCTGTTCAATGACCCTTCGAGCCTTTGCTAGGCAGTCTCTTCAGACTTTTTATGTTCTTGTTCTCGCCATCCCTATGTCTGGAATTTGGTGTACAGTCTCGATCGAGCTTCTCCAGATCGATGACGGAGAGTATGTGGCAAGAGTCGTGCTAGACCCCACAGGTACAGATAATAAGATGACGATATATACCACATGCATGTACACAGGTGAGTTGGGACTTCGTATTTCATTGTGATGGATGTCATTGATCTCGATGGCTGCCTCCGATCGTGCCTTTAATCTTCAATTTCTGATCGAATCGTCTTCTCCCCGTCCCGTGCCGTGAGAAGTGAACGCATTGCAGGAATGGGGTGTTACGCACTCCAGTGCGTAACACCCGCATTGTTGGCCCTTCTTTACGCTGTCAGACATCCTTGGCATCAAGGGACTACAGACCCACCAGTTTTCGTGAGCTTTCTGCAACTGTTGTTATGGACTGAGCGCTCGTCTATTCAGTTATTTAATCCGTTCGTGGGAGAAGCATATGACCTCGTAGACGATTCCGTCACTTCATCTTGTCTCCATAAAACTTCCAGCGGTTGGAATCCTGTAAATTCTTCGTGTTGGATATATGGTTGATTCTCGGGCCCCGCTTGACCTCCTCCGTCCTTCTCTCCCTTTATGAGCCTCTCTTCTTCAACCCTGGGCACGAACGACGGACGCAATCCGCAGTATGACTGCAGAACAGGCATTGTGGTCATGATCATGGTCCTAAATTCTCCGATTGACACCAAATTTGGAGAATGTATGATCTAGTCAAGCACGTAAGTCCATCTCCGTCTACAGCTTTGGGATGTAAGAGCGGGTAATTGTGGGTGATCGAAAAGAGACAGAGGGAAAACAATTATACGAGTGAGAATGAGAACAAACTGAAACAAATTATTTTTTCTCAAGCTCGGCCGAAACATCGTCACCTGCAACCTCTCGCTGATGAACCGAATCTGCTAATTAGAGAAGCGCGAGTATTTATTAGAAAACAGACATCACACAATACCAGATATTAAACCTTTTGACTCATAGATTCATTCCTCAATCTATGGTATCAGGTACTGTCGAGAGCTTCGTTTCTCCACGAAAAAATTATATAGCAATCGTGCCCCTGTGGAGGAGATCACAAGCCAGTTCATGCACACTTTCTCCCAACTACAGCAAAAGGGCCATGCCCTTTCTAGCAAGATAAGCTTTTGCTACCAGAAAACGCCAATCTATGGGCAGGTTAGTCTCGTTGGACGTTTCTAATATAAGGTTTTATACCTATGGGAATAACAAGGAAGGGCTACTGATGGGCGAGCTTTCGGCATGAGAGACGCCGCAGTCCTTGGCCTGGATGCCGAGCAGTAAAACCTGCTCCAAAGGTTTCCTTTCGTACGTGAACTATATGGCGACGACACCGATGGTTTGCATCGTCTTCGGCCACGAATACGTGCCTTGTCGTCATGCTTGAATGGATCACTGACATGTTGGAGGAGCTCGAAGCACCGGTTGAATCTACACCACTGTTCCATCGGATCTAAATGTTCCAACAGTAGCGAATCCGGAAGATGCATGCCTGATTTCACCTGGCGCAAACGGCATCTTCGCGGTATCCAGGAAGCGTTGCCATAATTTTTGGAAATATTTTAGTTCCAGAAACAAGTATCCCCTTACGATGCATGATTATTGTAAACATTTGTAGTTTCATCTGGACTCACACGTCGGCAGTTCTAGCATTCTGGATCATCCATGCCTTCGGACTTGAGGACCTCTAACACTTCGGAAGTTCTAGCGCAGCTGGCTGCTGGCGATCCAAAAGTTCGATTGAAACGCGCACACGCTCTTGTACTCCTGCTGAATACTATGAATCTCAAATATGCCTCTCCAGGCTGACGTAGCCTCTACATTATCGAAATATATATCTCCAATACGTTGTTGAGTTGTAACCCTCTATGCTTGTGCTGCGGATGACGATCGCAACACATTCTTCCTTCATGAACCCAGGTTTTCAGGAGGAACTGCGGGCTTTTCGAATTCGACAAGAATCAGCGGCGGCTGGAATCCTCCAGAGTTTGGGATCTTGGTCGTATTTGTGCGAATTGATGTTGACTGATTAATTGCACATATTGTCGATTACTCTGTTGATTCAAAGTGATGATCACTCTTCATCTTATGATGAGCAGCACGTTTCTGAAGTAATCAGAGACTGGGCTCAAACATTCATATGGCTGACGAGTCGTCATTTGTGAGTGCAATATGATCGTTCAGCCGTTCCAACAAGAGCTTAGTGTGAATTCCCGGCACACTCATCAACTCCAAGAGCTTCTGTCTTGCTGCATCTGCACTGCCTTCTTCGCTCACCAGCAGGCTGAACATGTCCCTCTGTTCTTTGTTCGGGCAAAAGCTCATCAAATTCCTCAGGTGATCCATGTCCAGATCCGATGCGCCCCAAACGAAAATATCATCCAGCACATGTACCTCGGGGAGCTTCCAAGCCATTTCTCTCTCCTTCTGAATTTCATCAGCGCAGATCTTGTAGTTCTCCGCAAACTTCAAAAACGTGGATACGATCGGCTCTCCATCATTGAAAGAGGTGGATTGTTCATGATCTGCATCCAGAAGAATCAAAAGCTCCTCCATGCAACTACTCTTCTCGAGAAGAAAGGTCCAAAGCCTCTGAAGCTCTTGCTGCGCTTGCTCGAAGAACTTTTCCATGGGAGGACCCCAATCTGCAAAGCAACCCCCCTCGAAGGATTTCCAGGCCACATGGGCACTGATCCATCCAGAATGCAGGTCTTGGAGCTCCCTCGAGCTCTGACTCCAGGACTTCACCTCGAAGTCGACCTCCTCTGTAAGAGAGGGAATCTCCCGATCGATGCTGTACTCCATCAGATCGGCAGACTCTTTCAGAAGGCTCCTGCACAGCGCCTTCATAGTCAGCCCACTCCTGTTACAAGCCGATTGGAGCCTGACATATCCACGTTCGATTCTGTCTCCCGGACGACCTTTCGCTGGAGATGGTGGATTCGTCGGAGGATACGATATTGGAGGCGATGGTAAAACGCGGGGAGGGCAAGCTGGAAGCCACTGCATTGACTCTGAACGTTTTATTGGTTGCAATGGTGGCGACCGTGGAGGCGAGGACGATGTCAATGTGACCTCGAGGAGTGCCTTCGCCTCAGTGGGCGCAAAAGCTGCAGGCTCGTGATCACCATCGTTCGGTCGTGGGGGATTTGCTCCACCTCGAGCTGGCCTCGGGGAACGTATCGTCCTCATGCCAGCGACCTCCTTATCATGAGCTTGCAGCGGATTTTGATCGTAGACTTTGAGACTTGCCGGCTGAATTGGAATTCGAGGTGGCCTCGGGGAAGATAACCTCTTCAGCTGGCTCCCATCCGGAGAAGCTTCGACGCCGGGCCTCTCTGGGAATTTCATCGGACGATCCGTGCGAGAGTCTGTCACAGGCGGAGGATCTCGAATGGGAATCGCTTCCAGAACGTGTCGGAGCTTGGCGGAAGATCTGGCCTCCTCCGAGACTCGATCAATGAGGTAGATGTTTTTTGATAGCTGACTGATTGTCACTGAGAAGTGAAGCTTGAATCGGGCAACTTCGAGAACACGGTCGACGTCGGGCAACTGATACCATCTCGCATCCGGCAGAATTTGCTTCGCCGACACCTCGACGGCCCCGAATGGATTCGTCCTGGAGACGAGCTGCAAACAGTTGCGCAGTTCCGCCTCGTCCAGACTCGAGACATCCGCGTTGGCGAAAGCAGTGACAACATCTGAAGCGGTGAGCTTCATCGGATTGTCTACACCTGCAGAGCACCCTCGAGGGATCGAAAGGAAAGGGAGACGAGTCGAGGAAGCCGGAGAGCTAGCACGCTGCCCGAACGTCTGACAATCCGATGTCTAGCATGCACGAAGGTGGCATGTTTCTTCACAGGCTACCAGACTAGCTTGGCGAGATCTGAATTCTTACAGACTAGAACTGTATGGGAGCATGAACAGGACGATGCCCTTTCGGCCTCGGAAGCTGTTGATTTCTGGACCAGCAGCAAGATCATATCATATCGTATCATTTCCTCGGTCGACGGGCTCAGTGACGAAACTGTTGCAGGGATCTTCATTTTTTAGGAGATAGAAAATTTGACTAATTTGCCGATTCCTGACTCGAGTAAAATAAGTATCCCACGAATTACAAATGATTGTTTCTCTTTCTCGTTATATAGAGGTTGCTGTTAGTTATGAAGCTTAAAATATTAAAATTGTGAATGTTTACCTCTATACAATATTTTTTAATCATTGATTATAATTATTTATATATATTATTTAGGTTTTTGTTAAAATACTGATGCTATGATTTAAGTTTATATCATGTTTTTCTATAAATATATACTCTTAGAAATTTTTGAAATTCAATATTTACAATTGAGTGTTATTTTATTTTATGTTACAATTTGTATTTTAATTTTAATTTTAATTTATAATCGTCATTTAAAATTATTTTATCATTATTAAAAACAATTAATTTGTGATGTAGAATTTTCATCACATTGTAAATTGTCATTTTTCATGAAATATATATTAAATAATTATTATTTTTTAAGAAAATAATAATTTTATTTATAAAAAAAATTTCTAATTTTATTTATTTCAACAAAAACAAAAATTTTAACAAAAGATATATAATGTGTATTATATAAATGAAAAGAGAAAAGCACAAAATAAGGAAGAGATATATCTAATACATATAATGTATCATGAATTTCAAGATATTTATTGAAAATTTATATCTTTTAAAATTTCATTTTTATATATAAATGTTTCATTCATGTGTACTTTTATAAGTATGGCCCTGGCGTTGCGCCTTACTTCTAATAATACTTTTTTTCATCTACTTAAAATGATATACAATATCAGATAAATATTTTCTAAAATCTATTATGGTAATATTTCATTAGAAAGAATATATGATACATGATATTCAAATTAATCATACTAGTGTATATTAATATACCATATGAATTTGATGTAATCTATATCATGTCATTTGATTTGTTGATTGCATTCAATCTACTTAAAGGATTATGCTGTGGAGATTATTCAACTTTCATACTTTCAGATAAATATACAAAGTTTATTATAAGTATCTAAAATTTTATTATTCAAATTCATTTTAAATAGATATATTCCAACTTGATTACATTAGATAGTTGGCTGATTTACCTAAATTAACTTGATTTAGACGGGATGAAATGAATGGGAGAAAAGAAAGAAGAGCTAAGACTGGAAGGTTTTATTTTTCATGGGCTGTGGTGACTTCGATCTAGAAATATCCATCCATATTCTTGCAATGCATGATAATGCAAATTCTTTGTTGTTGAGATATCTAAATTTTTCCCCACTACAATAGAAAAGAAAAATCAGTGCTTTCACCCAGAGATCTTAGGACATTCTCTAATCCAAAAATCTGACAATAACCGTAGAACGTATAAAGTTCATGTCACACATCATCAATTGGGACACATGGCATATCGTGCGCGACTACCAGTACATGAAACATTTGAGATCTTTGAGGATTTGGAAACACATGCGTTGAAAACAAACGGTAGATCATGTTATCTCTCTCTGTAAGGAGTTTTTCTCGTTCCTTTGAGAATTAGGTCTCTGTGTTCTCACTCCGAGAAGAATTGTTCAGCCCAAAAGTCAATTTGATGTACTCCAGGAGGTAAATTTTACTTTTGTAGGGTGGCTTCCGAGCTAAAACTGCACAAAGTCGGATTTTTCGAATCCATTAGGGTGAAGTTTAACAATCTGTGACACAGTAGAAGACCAGGCTACGAGCTGCGGATCATCTACGGTAGGAGATGGGTTTACTTGCTTGTAACATGAATGCAGTGCCAGACAAATAGTACTCCAATCATGGGATACCCAGGAAACTCATTCACGACTGAATGATTCCATCTCAACTTCTCATGAGTACTTTTCTTACTAAATGGAGACAAGGAGTCATCCTTCATTCGGATTTTTGTGGCACATCCATGAGATAACATTTTTTTATAAACATGTCTGCATATACAACAAAAATTATATTTACACAATATTTTAAAATTTTACATTTAAGACCACAGTTTATTATATATATATTTCATTTATTCAAAATTTACTTATTTAGTAAAGAAATTTCTGCAATTTTCATTTTATTCAATAAATTTTTTTGAATATGTTACAACTTAATTTAATTATATACTTATTTGTATAATTAATAAATTTTATAATTGATATTCATGTTAATTTTAGAAATAAAATTTAATTTTATTGATTATAAAATCAAATTCCTATACAAAAATAATTTTTTATAACATGTATAGAGATATAAAAAAAATTAATTCTATGAATTACTGTGAAGAAATCATATTCAAATTTTCAAAATATATTATATCTATATATAATATTTAATTCTATATTGATGATATATGTTTAATTATTATTATTACTAAACATAATTTTTATCGTAAAAACTTGATTTATTTATATAACAGTCTTCATGAGTTTTTCAATGATTCAGAAACCACACTAAAAAAAGGAGCACAAACACTTTGTTACGACAAACCGTCACGTACCATATTGTAGCACTACAAGAACATCATCCTTCTAAATATGGATGACCTTTGAACCGCTGCAATTAGTACAACTGTTGTCGGACATGTCTTGCCCTTCTTCAAGTCCACTGGAGCCTACGCGCCAGGCGATTTGAATTTGTGATCGGGTTCGGGGCGTACGTACGAGCTCCTGCAACCGGGACAGCGTCCATCTTCCGCTGCAATCTTGTGATGGCAGAAAAGGCAGAGCTTGAAGCCGCAAGAGCACGAGCAGAATGACGAATCCGTCTCGTCTAACTCCTCCATACAAATCGGACAACATTCGGGCTCAGGGTCGACGATGTAAGCCGATGGCTTCCACCAAATCTGCCGCTCTGCAGTTTCTGGAAGTGGGCTTCGGTTTCGGAGCTCGCCGTATGTCGATGCCATTGCCCATTTCCTTGAACCTGATCTCAAAGCGATATCGTGGCTAGAATCCCTGGAACTCGAGCTCCAGGTCGTCCTACTTCCGTAATTCTGCAACCTGGGGTCTCTTGTTTCGTCGTATTTTGTCTCCTCATTGAATCGGCCTCTTACTCCCCTAGCACGTCTGTCTACGGTCGACTGTGGCTCGTCCACCATGCCGCTAGAGTCAGGTCCAAGGACAAGAGCCCACGACCAAGGACCTCCAGTACCGAACGGACAACCCGTTGAGAAAACTTCGTCGGGTTCTCCGATGCCTGCCCGCCAGCTACGATCGCTTACATATGACAATCGATTTTCTGGCCTTTCGAGGCCGCTTCTATTCCGACTTGTATGTAGGGGCGTGGGTCCCTTACAATCCTTGAACGACTTGAAAAATCCTGTATTGCAAACTTTATTCTCTGTGATAATGCTCGGGGAAATCTCTTTGTAGGATGAACCTGAGCAAGAAATTTAAGCATGAAGCTGTGTGATGTTGAGGACACATAAACAGCAGTAAGAGAAAAGCAATCGCATGGGATTTTTCTCATTACCTGATTTAGGTGGAGCGGCTCTGCCAGAAGATGGTGATCCTTGAGACTCATAATCGTACTGAGTTTTCGCAGCCCATACGCCTCTCACCTTATAGCCCTGCAAACTTCGTGGAGTGCTTTCGTGCAATCCTCTCCATCTCGCTGCATCTTGAACGTCATATGCTCGAAGTCGGTCTGAGAAGACATCCGTCACAGCGTATGTTGGGTGGTGCGAAAGACCAGATTTGCGCTCAGGGATCATTTCCTTCGGTGATGATGTATTGTTGGATCTCTCCATTCGCTCCTAAATTAGGCCGAGAAATTGACAAATCGTATGACATTGCTTTTCAAAGATGTAATATTACAGCTTATCAGATGCGATGTTCAAATTCAATTGGCCTAAAGTCCTCTGCGAAAATCCGCAATGAACACGGACATGAAGATTGTTTCTATGCGACCTAGAGAACATGAACATAGAGAAACCTATTTTTTAACACTCCTGTTTGTAAATCTCATGAAGGGTCAAGCCGCAATACCCAACGTATCACGTAACGACTGTCACCTTCTATGGAGATCAATTTGAACTCTCAGAGGTGAAGACTGTTCGCTCAGTGCTTGATCCTGCCCTGATCGTTTCTCCTTATGAGTTCGATCTCGTGACTTCCAGTGGATCAGTACCTCGATCGATACTTCAAGCCCCACGCACGCGCTGCGACTTTAATCTTGCGATCGATCAGTAAACTCATAGCCCTCGTCTCGTCAATCACTCGTCAGTCACATGAAGGTCACATCCATTACTGACCATCTCATCGAGTGATCGGGATCGTCCCTGAAAGAGCGACGTGGATGCAATGGCAGCGGCGCTGGCGCGCTCAGTCCATCCACATCGAGGGCAAGAAACTTAGCAGGAGCCAACGGTCCCTCAGCAGCCGGATGAGTCCGTGCTTACTTGTCGACGAGCTCTGAGCTCCACGTGTCAATTCAAAACTTATTTACTGCGTGTACTTCTCTATGTCCGTGATGCAGTTTCCTTTGATTCAATTTACATTCATTTCTTTCAAAGTTCTGAAATTCGTAAGTAAGATTCGAAGATTAATGATATGTATGACAGATTATAATGATATGATTGATCGTGATGCACTTTCATTTGATTTAATTTAGGTTCATTTCATTCAGATTTCTGTGTTCGTACGTACGATTCGAAGATTAATGATATGTATGACAGATTATAATGATATGATTGATCGTGATGTACTTTCATTTGATTTAATTTAGGTTCATTTCATTCAGATTTCTGTGTTCGTACGTACGATTCGAAGATTAATGATATGAATGACAGATTACAATGATATGATTGATCGTAATGCACTTTCATTTGATTCAATTTAGGTTCATTTCATTTAGATTTTTCTGTTCGTACTACATATGAATGACAAATTACAATGATATGATTGATCGTTCATTGTCGCGAAAGTGACAAAATGAATGTTAATAGCTCAACCTGGGAACTCAAAGTGTGAAAGGGTTGAAAAATGTAATACAAAAGAACTATCAACAAGAGAAAAGACACCAAATTTCTATCACTAGCTAGTGATTGACTAATGAATACGAAGACCTCCATCATCTGATATGTTGTCCTCCATGGATGTGATAATGCTTCTCTGCAACATCGCAATTCATCAATGATGAATCATCACTCATTTATCCGAACCTGAAGATTTCTGTCTGCAGTCACGTCAAAGCTGAATGGGATCCTCAAGATATCAGAACGATATACGGTCCTGCTGAATCTTTAGATGAAGCATATCTGAGGATCTGAATGCAGTAGAATGTTTGAAAGAGGAGACTACTTACATATTTGCTAGTACAATTTGTTTATCAATCTACATTTGATTACCAGACAATATAATGATCGATCCTTATCACTGCGAATAGATGCTGATAAGAACCCAATGATATTCCGTTTTCTTCCTGCATTCTGATTCTTGAGCTCCTGACTCATAAACCGTAATATTGTAGGTCTACCTGTTCCGCTTACCGGTCTATACAAGTTGGAACTTTTATTACCAGAGTGTGCTCTTGGTGTATTCATCGATTTCGTTGAGCCCATCAATATATTGAGATCTGCAAGAAACTTTTATCTTCAGCAATCCTTACTGACGCCTCTAGATTTTCAAAATTTAGGCTGAAGAGGTTAATTTTTAATATATGCTTCAACCCTTGAATTTCCATACTATATAAACATCTATCACTGAAAATTTTGGAGCTACACGTAAACATGTTTCAAGTAAACAATTGAAATGTCAGCACAAAATTGAATTATTAATCCATCGATGTGACATGTAGTCATTGATATTTCTTAAAACTTTCAAATCTGAAGTTGTTTAGAGCTGTATACCAATACTAAGGCTACTTCGAACAACAAAAATTGACATACGATTTGAAATTATTACTGAACGAAATGTAAATATGTAGAAAAATATTTTCTTTCATGTTTTTGAAAAAATGATAAACTTATAAATGAATATCCATAACTCTTTCGGAAGATGTTCTTGGCAGTGACAAAATATTACCACTTTCTAAAGTTTTATGATTTATATTATCAACACACTGATCAAATGATTCAATAAAATTATTTTAAAATAAAGCAGCTAATTTTATTTTCTAATATTCAAACAAATAATCAAAAAATTAAATTTACAATAGAATTCTAATATTCTCTTCATTCCACGCATAAAATAAAACTTTTAATAAATATTATTATTATTTTCAAAATTTTTATATTAGATTTCATGGCTGATGTAGTAAAATATTGACTACATTGATACAACAAAATTTCATAGAATGTAGAAAAAATTTGAGCTACTATTTTGGTAAATTGTTAAAATCTTATATTAAAAAAATTTAAAATTTTCAACTGAAAATATAAGGTAAGAATTGTAATTTTTTTATTAATTTTTTAATTGAAAAAAATATATTATACTTAAACACTAAAAAAAGAAAAATAATGGATGTTGCACATAAATAATTACTTATTTCATTCAATTGATCAGTTTTATAGTAAAAATATATTTATTTTTCATTTTATCTTTTAAATTTTAATGTCTGAATTTCTTAACTATTATGTAATTATTGATATTATATATAAATATTTATTAATGTGCATTCCTCAGATTGTAGAGCTTTCAAAGCTTTGATTAAACGAATCTCTGGATTTAGAGACTTTGTACATAAAAGGTTAAAAGATTGCATATATACTTGCAATTATGTTTTTACTCATCAATACTATTCACTAACAATATCATATCAATTTTCAAACATTTTTAATACGATATTGTTTGAATTTTATATGCTATGTTTTCATTATATTTCATTTTAATTATTAAATTTATTTATAAATTAATCACTTTATTTTATCAGTTAAATTTTTATTTTTTCAGAAAACAAAATTCAATAGTTTTTTCCATCGTTGATTATGTTGATGCACGACAATGATGCAATACAACACCGCAAAATGTTAATTGATATTATGGAAAAACAACTCATTACGCAGTCATAACGAGCTATAAGGTTGATGATTTTACAAGTTTTGATAAACTTAGATGTCATGAATAATAATCTGCAATTTATGAGACGACAATTGCAAATGTATATTTTTGCTGCAAATTCAATTACATTGACATACATAATGAAGACACATTGAATTTTCATTGCAGAAAAATGGCATAGAAACAATTTTCACCTATCATTATTAAAAAATTCTAAATTTACATGGACTTTCCATTTTTTTATGAAGATTCCAAATTCTTTACAGCTTTATATGTAATCCACACAACATAGAAGCTTTGTTAGGAATCTTGTCTGGTTTTGATCAACAATTACTCATGTATTGACAGAAATAATATTTTTTATCAAAATATATTTCACAATCAATATTCTGTATCAAAGTTATTCTTTTAACATTCATCAAAAATCGATGTTTTTAAAAGAATAATCTGATAAGTCTTATAATATAAATTTTCATATCAAAGCTAAATATCATTTATTTTTATCTTAATCAACATTTATGTCACATTTTTCGTGTTAAATAAGGAGTCATCAATGTGTAAAAAACATACAAGGTATTTTTGATTTACCATGTAATTTACTAGTATCTCAGTAATAAAATATATAAAACTTTTCTTAGAATAATGCTATGTTGTTATGAATTTTACTCTTAATTTCTGACTACATGAAACCGATACTAAAAATTAAGTGCAAATACGTGCAATTTTTAATTCTTAGTACAGAAAATCATTTGGTCATGATTTTCATTGAAAATATCAAGCTCAAAAATAAAAATGCTCTTTGTATTTTTTATGGACGAAGATAGTAGTTTATTTATATCAAAGCAGATTACATAAATTTTTTATTATTCTTATTTGAACATATATTGTGAAATATATATATATATATATATATCGATTGACCATATGAGACTAATTAACAGTTTGATTTAGTTATTTTGCTAAGTTTTTCAATTTCAAGAGATCTAAATAATTTCCTTTTTCTAAAACAATAACCAAGATTTTTGGAGATAAAAGATGGTTTTGCTACATACACATTGGCTACAAAAACATCTATTTTATGATTTTATGATTTTTTTAATTTAATTTAACTTGAAAATAGAATTTTTATCATAGTTTAAAGAAGTATTTGAATAAAAGTAGTAAATAATAAAAATAAAAATACGTTATAACACAGGTTTTCTAGAAATTTTTAAGAAATAATACCTTATTATATATTCTATTTTTTATATCAAATAATTTTTAAATAATTTTTTACAAGTTAAAAAAAACTACAAAAAATAAAAAAAATTTATCTAAGTAAAATTGAAATAATGTTTGCAAATTGACACACGAAAATGTGATCTATATCTACATATGTTATGCATACTTTTACACACATATTTTGATTGAAATGTCTAAGTTTATGTTCTTAAAACCTTCAAACAGCTCTTGTATATAAGGACAAATTTAATCCTAATTAAATAACATTAGTTTGATTTGTTTTCTAGCAATCTACTCTTGAATTGCAAAAAACAAAAAAATAGACTTGATTTAGTCCATAATCTAAACTAAAATAAACTTGAAAGAAGATAATGAAATAAAATAATGAAATAAAATAAAATCCAATCATATAGAAAGATAAATTCCAAGAATTGCTAGTAAATTTTACTTTTATTTTTTGTAAAGAATTGTCAAAGTTGATTAATGTTTAATAAAATAAAAAAAATTTACAATGATTAATGTTTTGAGTGGAGTGAATTTACTGTCAATCTTGAATAGCTCTGTTGAAAAACGGTAGATTGGATATTGCTCTAATTATGAACAAGATATATATATATATATATATATATACGTCAAATTCAGAGAAAATTTGAATTATGTAAAATGAATTCTAAGAAAAATCAAGAGGTTAGAGACTGTGATTTTTTGTTTGATGAATAATTGAATAATGCCATATCCTTGTAACATCACAGGGATGCTGCCTATAGACAATATTTGATAAGAGTAAGTCTACTACTTGAAATATTATTACATTTGATAACGAATATATATAATTTGAGATCCACTTGGCTCAAGTGCAAAGTTTAGACATTACAAAAGTCAACTATATGATGACAGGAAAAAAAGAATTCATTCAATAGACTTATTGGCTTTGATGAAATTAAAGCATAATGTTGTAAATTTTTTATGAAATAATTCTTTAATATAAGATCTAATTTTTTTCATCAAATACATGAAGCATGAGATATAGATCCAAGTATAAATCCATTGTCATGTCATA